TAATTGGAAATTTTTATCTGAGGAGATCGCGAACACCACTCGGATTTCTCAGTGTTCGGTTTACTCTTGTGAGAGACAAAATCTAAAATACTATCCGTCTTGCTGTCCTGCCCCTTTTCCAATTAAGAATTTTCAAATAATGCGAGCAGAAATAATAATCAAACTAATTGTCATCAAAAAGTCGTCTTAAAAAAATTGTTGACTTAAATGCTGTGTAATGTATCGTACGTAAAACTGATTAATTTGTGTCTTTTTTGCTTCCCCTAAGGCATAATTACTGAGTAATTGTTGTTCAGATTATTGTCTTATTACGTCAATGTTCGAAACATACCTTCAATAAGAAAAAAATGAAAAATTTTTTGCATGAAAAAATTCAGATGAAGCTGAGGATGCATTTTCTATTCCCAAATAACTCTCTACAAAAACTTCTAAGCGTATTAATAGCAAATGCATCGAATTCAATCAGAAATGGAGAACACTAATCGTTTTTTAATTTTCTTCAGCTATCTTGAGAAGGCAAAATATGTCTCTAAGATTTTTAATATTTGTATTTTTATTAGCTGTATTTCTCGTTATACTCGCTCCGCTGGCTTCTTGGACTAGGAAAATTTTTCTAGGGAGTCACTTGACGATATGATTGGAGTTGAGTCGTCAATATCACATAGATTTTTGAAAGACAGATTTATTCCTGTGGGGAGTAGATTCTCAGCATCAGCTCTCAAAAATAAAAGCAACAACGACCCATTGAGCCGTTTTCTCCCTAAAAATTTCGAATGTTTAAAACATCGCTACAATTAAATTTTTGGAAAAACTTTCATATAAAAAAAATAATTCTTAAAATATTGCTTCTTATCAGCCTCTTTAAAACATTTGTTTATATTTATATTTATTTTTTTCAAACATTTGTTTATATTTATAAATATTTTTTATATTTATTTTTTATTTTTTAAGCTTAAGGAATTTAAAAATTATCGAAAAATTATTTTTTTAAAATAAATTTTTACAAATTTGTATGATTCTAATTGATTTTAAGCAGATAAAATTTAAGCTCAACTTCTAAACTCCGAACTATCAAGTTTACGATAAGGCAGAAACGAAAGAGAACTGCAAGAGAACTCAGCTAACTTCCAAATTTTTCCTTTATTTTCCTGAATAATGTGGCCAATGAATAATGTTATTTAACTATGTGGCTTCCTATAATTGGCAAGGAACATGGATTCGACTCCTCTCAATTGATTGAAAAAAATCTGCCCGACTATCCCAAACTGATCCTCTGCCGAAACGGTCTCATAATAATCGGTGGAGTCAGGCAAATTGGAATTGCCGAGCGCAGTTATTATTATTATTCTTATTTTTATCGTTAAGGTTAATACAACAGCACAAGGATATTTAAATTAGATTGATATGCAAATTGTAATCTTTTTATTTTGTGTTATATCTAGAAGTATAAAAAAAGCACAGACTTCGGGCATTGTTGGATGGAAAATTTTTGAAGTTTTTAATTTATTGATAAAACGATTAACAGTGAATGCCAGTGTTTATCATGCAACAAAAAAAAAACAGTAATACAATAAAAAATTTCCATTAATAATAATATTTTTATGACTCTAATATGGCTAAAACATGACTTTAAAATTTTTATTTATTTTTAGTTAAAATAGAGATTCGAGATAAAATATTATTATTATAAACAGTCAATTATGGTTTAATTTCAGTATTATTTTTAAAAAACTGCGAAATTTTCAAGCAAACTGATTGATCGAGTTGAATAACAGTGCAATGAATTAATGCAAAATGAAACAAAATCAAAATTCTAGGGAAGCGAATTTTAAAAGCATATAACTACGGGTTGAGATAATTTAGTGGGCTTCTTATTTCGCAGCGCCGATGCTGGGCTTCTATACTTGGCAGGAGTAAGCCTGTTTTGTTCGTCTAACGCTAAGTGAAACTCTGGCAAAATTTGTCGGGTCCAACGAGCAATCGAAGCGAGCCTCACCAGAAATGATAAGTGCTTTTAGAAAAAAATATGCACGTTGCAACTAAACGTAATAGTTTATAATAATTTAAGGTGGCAATAAAGAATAATTTCTAAGATTTATAAGGATTCACGTCGCATAACTAATTTAGAAAAATTTTTTAACGATTTATTATAAACGTTTAATAGAATGTCAGAGAAAGTGAAAAAAATATGCCAAAAATACGTCTTTAGGCTTAATTTCATTGAAAAAAAAACATTGGATATAAATAAAATTTATCCAAATCGCCTATTTATTCAACCAGATTTGTCGAATAAATGAATTTAAATTTAGAAAAAAATCGTCCCTTACGACAAATATCGAAAAATTCAGATGATTCAAATAATTTAACACTACCACCGTACCACCAATCTTAAATAAGTTAAAAATTTTCATGGAATTTATCGAGAAAATAGAAATTTATTGAACCAAATTTGAATCTTAAATTTTAGAAATTTTCTCAATTTTTCCAACTATATTCAGCTATTCTAAATAATTCTATTTAAATGATAATGATAAGAATAGAGAATAGTTAATCAACTAATAAACAAATTTTATATATTCATTTACCACAAATTAGTTCACCAAGTTAGTTGGTTGGCTTGGCTTTCATTTTATAATATTTTTCTACCATTAAATTCTTCTCTCATAAACCCGATAATTTAAAATATTAAACGTTTTAAATCATTTTAAGCTTAAAACTCGAATAAAACCATTATTTAGTTGAATCAAAAAGGCATATTTTGAGAGCATTGAAAGAAGATTTGATTTGATCGAGGAAATCTATCATAAATAAATTCATGACCTAAAAAATTTGAGAGAAAACCATATAAAATATTTTCGTTAGCCATATAGCTCCGATCGCTAATCGTTACTGAAAATCTATGAGGCGCCGATGATTTTACACAAAATTTAGAAATCTATTAGCAAATCAGCAAAAATCATAGGAAAAAAAAATTTGTTTTGCTATGCGAAAATTTCTATGATTATTTTTTTTCGTTTTTTTTCAACGATCAAATACATAGATTGTTTCGTTCTTCATTATCGTATAATCATTATCAACATTCATTATCATCATTAAATATGCATTTTCATGCATTCTCATGAAAATGATTTTTCATTTAAAAAAAACCGTTCAATCGTATTGTAAAAAATTCCATTAATTTATCATTATTACCATTTAAAAATGTGAAAAAGAAACGAAAATTTTCGATAAATTTTTATTTCGAGGAAATAGAAAAAAAAATAGAAAAGAATGGAGTTTTAAAAATGAATTTCAATAATTCAATATTAATTTTTGAACGAATTTATTGTAAGTTAAGGTTAAATTTGAAAATTAAATGGTTTGAAAAATTAAAATTAATGAAATTAAAAATTTACGTCGTGAAAAGATTTATTTTAATTAAAATAAAATTTGAAATTAATAAATTTAAACCAATGTCCGCCAACTGATGAAATTCGATGAAATTTTCAATGAAGACCTTACTGGAAGTACATCGGATACCCACACATTTTAACTCGCCTATTCCCGATTGATTTGTGATTCTGATTTATTATCGTATGCTTGGAGATGGATTTAAAGTATTCATAGAACCAATAATAAATATGGTACTTTCCATATTTTACTGGACAACTTAATTGATAAAAATTATTACTGATAAGAAATTGATGCATTGATTACATTGACAAGAAATCAGAATTATCCAAATTATAATAATAAAATTTGCTTGAAAAAAAAATTTTCAAGATGATTATTGTTCAATTTTCAGATCCTTCTGAAACCTAAAATACCATTCATGTAAAACACCAAACTTAATTAGCTTATTTATTTAAAATATTCTCTTTGAACGCATAAAATTTTTCACCTAAAACCATATATATCGTTCGAAAATTTTTCCCATCGCGATTCGCTTCTTTTCAGTTCCTTTAGCCTATCAAATTTGTTCCTCTCTTTTTTCTCATTTTCATATTTTATAACCTTTTCCCTATAAATAAAAAGGACAATTGAAAAAACTTTAAATACAACAAATCCAATCATCAAGAATCGATTTAGATTTTATGTGTAATATTTAAAAATATTTGAAAAATCATTTAAGAATAGCTTTCTCGCAAACAATCTAATGTAATAAAAATGACCTTAAATTATAAAATAGATTTTCAAATTTTAACTTCCATTTTAACTTTATCAAATTTTTAAAAAATGTTAATGATAACGATAATGATCAAAAATTTTAAAGATAGTAAAGCTCAAAATTTCATTGCAAATACATATATATATACATACGCATAGAAAATATACTTCATGGAAATAAAATTTTTCAATAAAAACGATTTGAATAAAATCTTCTTTCCATAAAAATTAAAATAAAAATGCCAAAATCATACAAATATTTGCTGCTGTGATTGAACATAAAAAAAAGGTGCACGCATAAACAATGAAAAGACTCCTATTTTCTTTCCTTTCCTTTCCTTTCAAGCTCGATAAATCATAATTATGAGGAAGATGGTAGCGAAAAAAATGGTTTCTCCAGAAACGATGCAATACAAGCGCCAATGGTACCAGATTTCTTGACCGTCAATGGTTCTTCCCATTTATCTTGTAAGACTTCTCTCCATCTCTCTTTCTACCCCGCCCTAACGATCAAAGTAACTCTATCAACTATTTAACTTCCAAAATTCAAATTCTTTTCTATATTTTGCAACGCAATTACTGCAGATGAAGTTAATTCTTTTTACAGTATGAAAATGATTAGGAAAAATTTCATTAAAAATTTTTGTGCACTAATAAATTTTTTATATACAATAAAAAAAAAACTAAAACCGAATCATTCATTTTTCAAACCTCATTAAATAAATCTTTTCTAAAAATCACTAAAAAAAACGACCTATGACAAATGGCCTATAGCAAGAAAAATATTTACAGAAGAGTTTAAAGCAATTTAAAGAATTTTACAATATTTTGGCTATTTTCACAGAGCCAAAAAATCAAGGACAAGTAATGAGTCTTTTCTCGTGTAAATTAAGAATTGATCTAGCAATTACTTCATAACTATTTCGCATGTAGCCGCCACTCGTCAACATTACAATAGGAATATGATGTTGCCTAGCCAATCCAAAAACAATTTCATCACGCTTGATTACTGCCTGCAAGAAAAAAAAGTGAGAAAGTTGAGCTCAATGAACTATTTTGTTGCTATTTCGTTACTATTTTGCCACTGATTTCGAATATTGTATACTTTATTGAAAACTACTTGGATTATAAACATTTTTATTCAAACAGAATTAAGTTTTCTGGTGTGGGTGGTTCTACTAAGCAATAGGATAAATGCAATTCCTTCACTAAAGAGCAGGAAATTTATGAAAAGAAGTGGGCCTACAACGCCACAGGTATTTCATCCTTAATAATAGGTTAATCTTTTTCCAGGAAAAAGAACCATATTTGCGATGAATTGGTCTTAGATGAAATAACATTATTCTATCATTTAGAAGAAAACCATGATGAATTATTAGGTGAAAAATTGAAAACGACAACAATGAACAAACAATTAAAGCCTAAGAAGCAACAATTACCTTCGCTGAAAGCGACAATAAACCAAGTGCATCACCATCAAGACAGTCTGTGCCGGCATTATAAATGATAATGTCAGCAGTAAATTCAAGTAAAGCATTATTAAGATTATCCAATAGTTGCTGGATATATTCACCATCCGAAGTTCCGATAAGTAATGGTACAGGTCGAGTGATCGCTTCTATGACAACATTTTTATAAATGAGGTTTATCTGACCTATTTATTTTTGCCATTTTCCTCAAATATCTGTCTTAAAATTGTTTTCTTATAAATTTTTTTATGGAAAAGGAATTGTGGTTATAAAACTTTTCACCATATATAATTTTCTAATATATGTATACATTTATTTACTCATGATTTTAGAATAAATAGGAATTTCACAAAATCACCTCGCGCAATTTTATCATTCGGATAAATTTGACAATTAAACATGTCGAATATGTAAACTCGTCGATCGCCAGAAAAATCGCGTTCGTGACCATTGCCCTATTAAAATTTAGTGAATTTTGAAAAACGAAACATATTTATAAAAGATAAATATTAGCGGTTATCTCAATGAAGATGTTAAGCAATAAAAAAGGATCAAACCTGATGAGCATCTAAATCGACGATCATTGCTCGCTTGATAAGATGTTTAAGAAATAAAAATTTAAGAGCCAATGTTATATCAGCATAGACACAAAATCCTCCACCACGAGTTCGACTAGCATGATGAAATCCACCACCAACATTTATTGCCCAATTACGCTCCAAAGCTAATTTAGCTGCCATAATAGAACCACCTAAATTAATAAATAAACCATCGAGAAACTATATAAATCATTGATGTAGTTTATTCGATAATAAAAAACTTGAAAACCAAGAATATTTAATACGCACACGCATAAAATACCTCACAAAATCTACCTAATTTTACCTAAAATATCAAAAGAATAATTCCAAGTGTTCAATAAGACAGATAATAATAGGTTTTTCTATATATACTAAATTTAAAAGATTTGGATTCTCTGATCAACTGATCATATCATCTTCAATTTTAGCATTACTTTAGTCTTTTTTTTATAGAAAAGATTTGTGCTTAATTATAAAGATTTACCTGTTTGATATCTAAAAGATCGAAGAAGATAACGATCGACAATACATGATGGTAAAAATGCAACAAAAAAGACTTCCACGCAACGTGCAACATTGAAAGAGCAATTCAACGAATTTAAATAACACGCAGCATGAGCGACACGCAAATCATTATAAGTTGCCTCAGATGCTAAAACGAATTGATCCTCTCTAATCATTCCTGATTCTAAAAATTATTTTTAATAAATAATACGCAAAATAAATAATAAAAAATATAATAAATATATTAAATAAAAATGCAAGGAAAATTTTTAAAAAAATCCAGTATTTAATAAATTTTTTTTAAAAAAATATTATATCAATCATAGAACTCGTTCTGTGCAAAATTTAATAAGGAAAAAAAAAAATGAAATACCAACCGACAAATGATAAATTAGAAAAAAAAGTAAGAAATATTTCTTTTAAAAACTCAAATTTTTCTTTACGAATGAAATTTTTGAGAAATTTTTATAAAAAAATAAATAAGAAAAAAAAACTGTAATATCTGCAGAAAAATACCGATAAGTTTAGCATAAACACGTCCCCATTTTTGTGAATCGAATGGATGTAATTTTTCGATACCAAAAAATGAAATGTTGTAAAAATGATGATAAACAATTGGCCATTGATCGGATTTTATACTAATGTGTAATTTACTACTTAGTACCAATTTTAATTTCTCACTGAAAAAACTTTTGAAAAATGATTTTAAAAAAAATAATAAAAATAATTTTTTTAAATAATAAAAATAAATTTAGAAAAAAATAAAACCAGTAAACAACCTTTCATTTTTTATCGAATTTTTCGTTCTTAGTAATTTTTCACTCGAATTTCGTTCATTTAATTCAAAATTTTTTTCCATTTTTTTTTTTGTTTTTCAATAAATATCAAAAAAATTTTATTTTATATAAAAATTTCTGAAAATATTTCCTGAAAAAAAAACTTTTTTTCCATTTAAATGAAATATTTAACGATGAAAATAAATTTTAAAAAAATTTTTTCTAAATTTTATAGAAAAAAAAGAAAAAAAAACAAACCGATGAAATATTTTTTGTTGAATAATAATTATGCAAATAACATTCAACAAATCGATTTTCTTTAACCAAAATAAATAAAATTCTTTTATTTAATTCTTTCATCTCTCTAAAAGAAAAAGGAAAAAATCATATAAAAATATAATATGGAACAAGTCGAGTAAATGGGCAGCATTTCTTTAGACTTATGGTAGAGTCTCAAAATTATTTATTTTAGCGAAATATTATGTGAAACATGTCGAATAAATGGGCAGTGGTTTTAGGGCTTACATAAGAGTCTCTAGAACTGAACTGAAAATAAAGGTTCAACATTTGACCCCTCTGACCTTTTAAGCGCCTATATAAGATAAAACAGAATGTTCCTATTTTCATTCGCTTTATGACATTCTTCTCACTCTTCGCTCTCACCAAGTAAATTTTTTCTTTATTTTATTTATTTAGTTTCTATTAATATTTTTTTTTTTCATAAATAAATTTTTTTACTTACTTCACTAATTATATAAATTAAACTTAAATATAAAATTGTAAATATTTTCTTATATTTAAGCGGTATTTTAAGCGAAAAGTGGTGCATATTTAAGCTAAATTTATTTAATTTCTTTAGTAATTCTTTTAAAGTTTTTACTCTAATTTGTCAAATAAAAATAATTTGGTTAAAAAATATATTTATTTAAAAATTTTCACCAAAAAATATTGAAAACGGAATGAATGGAAATTTTGAATGATAAAAAGATTTTTTAAACAAAATACCGCTATTTGTTAATAATAAGTCTCCTATCATATCAAAAACGATAATAAAAATACACTATTACCAACTGATAATAAGTTTTCTATCATATCAAAAATGATAATATGCGGCGGTATAAGTTAAGCCGCGACTGCGAAATAGTGATATGATAAATGCAAAAACTTCGATAATCACGTTAGAAGAATTTGTCGATTTTTGAGAAAAGAGTTGGGTTGATTATTGAAAAATTTTTGTTTTATTCCAAGATCATTTATTTTATTTATTTATTTGTAAAATTTGTAAAATTAAGTATAATTATTTTAAAATTTGATTAAATTTTATTAAAAAGTTTATTTTATAAAAAAATTTTTTTATTTGCTAATAATTTCTGAATTTTTTGGAAAAAAAATTTTTTTACGATGATTAAAAGAATTTACGAATAGAATTTTAATTTTTATAATATTTAAAATTGCGTTTAAATTTTTTTCTAAATAAAAATATTTGTTTTTTTAATAAAAATTGTCGAAAAATTTTAATATTTTCAATTCTTTCATTTATATTTCCTTTTTTTTTATTACTTAATTTATTTATTTATCAATTTTAATTAATAAATTTTTTAAAAAATGTTTTTCGATAAAACAAATAAAATTTGTTTAATTGTTGTAATCTTGTTTCTATTCGCCTCTTATTACGGCAAATATTTCATTCAATTTTTTCGCTATTTTGTCGATTTGAGTCATTTATTCGTTGTTTTATTAACATTTTTCATATTTTTTATTTATATTTATTTATTTTTCTTATATTTTACCCATAGTTCATCGAATTTTAGCGATCAATTAACGTTATTCGTGCCTCGAGTGCTCCGCCCAAACAACAATATTCTATTGATTGTTTAAAGGGCACGCGTTAATTTTAAAAATTTATAAAGTTCTTGACCTTTGAGGTCATAGATAAATTCTTGATTCGATTTAATTGAGATTTGTTATTTATGCAAAAGATTCTGGAAAATACAATACTTTCTATAAATTTAATTTAAGGTGTTTTTTTTCCTTTAGGTAAACTGGTTTTTTATTGTGGACGAGTTTTTCAAATCAGCGATGGTTTCTTTTATTCAGGGACTTCGTAGTAGGGAAATCGGACGTAATCCAGTTGATTTTCTGCATATACTACCAACTTCATCATCACCGATTTATCAGAAAGATGTGAAAGGTCACTATGGATGCGTTAATGCTGTTGAATTTTCTAACAGTGAAGAATTGTGTGCGAGCGGTTAGTTTTTTATCATTTTTTAAAGTCTTTTTCAGACGAATGAAATTTTATATATCATTATTTGTTTAAAATTATTGCTGAAGTTGATTTAAATGTAATTTACTAATGGAAATTTATGATAATTAGAGAAATTCTTCCTGTTTTTTTATCAGTGTAAAAAAAAATTTTTATGATAAATTTTGTTTGAAGGTGGTGATGACTGTGGCGTTTTGCTTTGGCGAGTTAGCGATTTACAAACAGTTGAAGCACCAAAACCAGTTGCAACAATGTCCGAGTTCCATACCTCGAATATATTCGCTCTCGCATTTTCAAATAGGTTATAAATTCTGACATTTAAAATTAAAAAAATAATGCGTTTATTGGATATCAATATATATCATTTTTTTTTAACTTTTTTGGTTTTTTAGTTTTTTCTTTAGCATTTGAACATAATTAAACATTTCATGTTTTCATTTAAATTAAATGATGCTGTTTTGCCTATTTATATTTTCATTTGAGGGATCAATGGATATGTTCAGTTGGAAATGATAACGCATTAATTGTGCACGATTTACATACCTCAAAATTTGTTCATGGATTTCGAGCAAATGGTTCGATATATCACGTAACTTTCTGTGTAAGTGTTTTTTCATTATTTATAAATTCCTATTCTAATTTTAATATTATTTTGTTGGTTAAATGATGCTGAAATCTATTAATCATGCGATAGAATTTTTCGATTGATCAAGTTTAAAAAAATAGAGTGAAGAAATTTGCAGCCATCGGATGATAATTTGGTCATGACTTCTTCTGATGATGGATGTGTTCGTTTACACGATCAGAGATCTTTTGAACAAAATGTTCTTTTAAATCAACGAGGTTTATTTTAATTTTTTCATAGTTTCTTACTATTTGAAAAGGCAGCATATCTAGTGTCATCAAAAAAGTCGTAGTACGACTCACCTATATTTCTGTTTCCAAATGATTTTTTGGCAAAAATCTCTAACTGTACTAACATCCATTGGAGCTGGTCTAGCCAGATATGGTGAAGGTCAACTGTTAAGTTTTTTCCTAATTGTAGAATTTTTCAATATGAATAATATATTATTTCATAGGAACTATGTATTGCGCCCAGTTTAATCCTATACAGTCAAACGTTGTAGCAGTGTCCAATGCTTCTAGAGGTTTAGCTCTTTATGATTGCCGTCAGGTTACCAGGTTATTCGAAATATTATTCTAAATTATATCTAATAATTTGACTATAAACGATGTATTGCTTCATTTCTGTTCGGAATGATCATTATTTATTGTTCAGGATTTATTTGTTGATCATTTTTTAAAATATTCGGTTCAAAATTAGCAAAGTTTTGAAAAACTTCATAAAAATTTTATAGATAGCCACAGATATATGTTATCTTTTTAGAGAATTTCTGCGACTGCTACCTCCATCGGATCTGCTTCAAAGAGATTCAGCCATGTACGCTAGGTGGAATGATGCAGGTAATGGAATATTCGCTACTCGGAGTCACTTTAGTCCGGTTTATTATGATGTAAGTTAATTTAATTTTTTTGTTGTTAGATTGCTTTCTGGCCTTATAAGAAATTTTTTGCATTCTTTTTTAATGTAGTTTATCATGCATTGTCAGATTGGTGCGAAATGTTTGTTGTATCGCTTCAAGCATCAGAGTTCCGACTATACTTCTGACAAAAGAAAATTTTTTACTGAGATATGCGGATGATGGAGGGAAGCTACCTAATTTTAACTCTAAACGAATTCCTAAAAATTTCACATCGTGGACTAGCGCTAGCCACTATCTAGCCTTTATTTAATTACTTGTTATCATTAATCAAGTAAAACTTCATTCATTTTTTAATATTATGAGGGAATGGCTTTGCTTTATTCCTTCATTGACCATTTTCATGCTCCCCTAATGTTTCTCGTTGTATTTAAAGCTTTTACTGAAAAACGGTAGTTACAGCTTGAAAATGGAAATTATGTTAACTTTGATGATCCAGGCTACAAAAATGTATGCACCGTGAAATCATGTTCATTTATTACGCAAGATCTGGTTATGACTGGATCTGATGATTGGAATATTTATATCTGGAAGATTCCTGCCGAAAGAGAAAGTAAGTCCAGTTTAAAATGTGATTTCAAAAATAAAACATGTATATGATCATACATTTTTGCGCATTCATTTCTTATCCAAATATATTATCAGGAAATCCGGTTTTATCATCATCTGTCTATCTCGCGAATAGATCGTTTAAAAAAATTTGTATGAGTTTAAATCTGTTAAACTTTGTTTTAAAAATAAGATCGAGCATTCCGTCTTGGCAGATTACTTTATTTTCGATTATAGATAAGAATTATGTAGGCTATAATCGTTATAAATCTTTTTTCCAGGGCAGACTATAGATTCAGCATATAAAATATTGAAGGGTCATCGTTCAATAGTTAATCATTGTCGATATAGCTCGATTAATAAATTGATAATATCTTCTGGCGTTGAAAAAATTATTAAGGTTAGCCCAATCTTTTATTGAATTTTGAAATTTTCATATTATTTGGTCTAATGCTTCGTTTTGCATTAACCTTTTCTTGATTTTTAATTTCTTTTTTGGAATTGTGAAGAATTTTTTTCTGATTCGATGCTCAGATTTCTTTCCTTATTTTATTTCTCAATTTTTTCCAATTTTCAAATTAATACTACTATTGATATATATTTTATACTTGGATTAATATTATTTTCATTATTTTTTCCTTGCAAATTAAGAATTTTTCTGCATTTTACTAATTTTGCATAGAACTGTTAGATGGTCATTGTCTGTTTTGTGCCTGTTTTGCATTCACTATTTCCGATTTGGGTCTTTTTTGTTTCCATATATCTCTTTTGCTATAAAGTCATTTTTCATAAAAGAAATATAGACGTGGGTCCCGAACACCATTCGGATTTAATGGTAGATTTGCTCCATCGAAGTTAAACTTATGATACCTGATTTTAAGTAGTATAATTGTAGGCTATCGCGGCCGCACTATTCTGTGAAGTTGTAATTACTTTTTATATTAATTTCGCCACCATTTTTACAAACTCTTAATTTCAGCTTTGGAGTTCGATTGAATCTCAAAGTTATTATGTAGAGCCAAAAGTTCGTCAGCCAACTTCACTTGGACGATTGGCTGTGCTACACAGTAATGAAAGTTTGGAAGAAGATGCCAGCATGCTCGCATTTTTCGATTCACTTACTATGGTTTCCCATTACTGCAATTATGACTTAAACCTATCATATGATTTTTTTTTAGCAATCTGATGCATAGAATAGAGTGATGTGCATTTCCTACATTTCCTTTGGTTGGAATCGTAAATATATTGAAGATTAAATCGAATCGGGCCACAATCTTTTTGATGCTCAGCCGAATTAATTTGAGCCTTACACTTCTAATATCTCTTTTCTGCTAATCACATCTTTATAGACTTTTCCTTCTGGCTGAGAAGAGTTTATTTCATTTTATACTCCTACTTTTCGATGAAAATTGGTCTTTTATGGAGATTGAAAAAGGAACGCCTTGGTGCAGTTATTTCTTTGAAGAATTTAAACCTATTTTTAGCAATAATATTTTGCTATTAGCACTCTATTTCTCTTTAGGAGAATTTTTTGGTAACATATTCAGGATTTTGTTTAGTTCTGTTTGGTCCAGATACAAATGATCGATTAACTGCAAGTTACTTAATAGTTTATTTTAGCAAATAATAACTTTATGATTAGTAGGAAAGGTTGATCTAATGTCATTATCCACTGGTCTCATCTCAGATTTGTCATTTTTATTATTACTATCACTTGCAAAAAAAGAAAGTGTTCCAAAATACTGTTTTCTTTGATTTGTCCATAATTGCTTGAATTTTTCGAGATTTTGATAAACTAGTTGGTACTTTCGTTTTGGGTGTGTGGTGTAACGTTTATTCTGTTGTATGGTTAATTTTTCAAGGCAGTGAATCAAACTTTCTTTTGGGGTCGAGTTTTTTTTTCATTTATTCTTTTAGATCATTAATTTAAGATGCTAGTTGGGACTTGCAAAATTTTTTCTTCTTTTTGTTATTTTCTGAAGATATTGAGACTCTAAATACGGTTAGTTTTTTTATCATGAACTGTGAACTGAGGTTGTTATTTTTTAATTTATGAACGAATTATAAATAGGATATTTTTAATTTTTGATGTTGAACAAACTATGATAAAATTTTTTTATTTCGACTCAGCGGTCGTTTTTTTATAACAGAAGAATAGGATTGTAACTTAGGAGTTTATTGATTTATTTTTATATATTTCATTTATCGTTGAAGTTAGAGCAAAAAAAAAAAAACTGAGGATTGAGGAAAGCATAATGCTTAAAAATTACTCTATAGAAAATTTCGCACAAAACAGCAAAATTTTCATTTCTAATATTGTCGATTTTTTAAAAATGCTTTAATTTGTTTCAGGGGCGAAATATGTTTGACGATGAATTAAATACTGATTATGAAGAAGATTCTGATTATAACAATTATATAACATCTGAAGCTAGATTAATAACTGTAAGTATTTTCTCTCACATTTTTTTATGAACTTGGAATTACATTGAAATAAAACTAATAAATTTTTTTTTGTTTCATGGCTATATCTTTTTTAAGGACTCTTCTCCAAGTTATGTGGTCACATCACCCGAATCCTCACCTTCTGGATATTTGATTGAAAGCGATAGTGGAGAACAATTTTCGCAAGTTGACCGTTAGTATTCGTTTTACATTCATTCTGCTGACTTGGCTTGTTTGCTCAGTTTACTTGCTATTAGCTGGAATATAGTTTATATGCTTTGAGTTTATTCACAAAGCTTATTTATTTTTTTTATAAAAATTTAGTATATAATTCATATTGCGGATAAAAATTGTCAGTGGAATCAAATTTTTCTTGTGGTTGATTATACAGCGAAGATTTATAATCAAATGTACAAATTTGAAAAAAATTAGTTTTGTTAGGATTGTATGGAATACAGGATATTTGGTTTTTTCTCTTAATTTCAGTAAATAATTGAATATTTTTCCTCATTTTCAGGTGCTCTTAACTGACATCAATTAATTGTTAGAAAATCTATGCCTTTTTTAAATCTACGATCAAATGATTTTCAATTCAATGGTTCGAATTCTGATTATTGTTTTGGCTGTTTTATGGATGAATTTTTAGGGACCATTTCAAGTAGTCGCTAGTCGACTGAATTTTAACCAAGTTTTCAATTAATAATTTTCTCTTCAATTTTTCATATTTTTTTTGATTAGATTTGTCTGTTTTTTTTTGGTTTAGTTATACTTATTTTAGTTTTTTTCTGTGGATTATTTAAAAATTCGCTTTTGTTTTTATATTTTTTGTTTGGCAGAAATATTTTCTTTTACTCTTGATTTATTTTTTATGCTTTTAAAAAATACTTTTAATTTTTTGGTTAAACTTAGTCGGGTTGACTGATATTTGAGGGCCATTCTACGTCGGGAAAGAATAATTCAGATAAAGCTTCAAGTATTTTTCCATTCTTTGTGATTCATTGATAGTACTTGTTAAACTATTCAGTCTTTCTCTGACGTGATTAGGAACCTCAATTTGGATTTAATTAATATTTCTCTTTTCTATCTTATCTTCATTTTATTTGGCTTCCATCAATAAAATTTTATTTTAGAAAAGTGGGTGAAATTCATTTTTTTGTCATTATGGTTAAGGTCGTTACATGCTTAAATTTTTTATTCATAAGGTGATGATTACAGATTGTTACTGCAAATATGATTTTGAAGACTTTAATTGACGTCAATTTTATTCTTGGTGTGTTCGAACGGTGTGATAAGATCATTTATTATTAGTGATAGCTCTTTATTTTATTTCGATTCTTGGAAGGCCAGGTCAGGAAATAACTGTTGGGTCAAAAGCAGGCTCAGTGAACCGATTCAAAGGTTTATAAGAATAATTAAATTTTTCCTTTTGATTAAATTTTAATTTTTAGCAATTCGTTATAAATTTCTATAAAAATTCTTTGGAATTTAAATTCTATAATAGGGTTTTCAAATTTGGATTATGTAATTTATGCTTAAGCGTACTGATCATCCCAGTGCTTTTCTATAGCTATTTTAATTCATCCTGTTCATTGTCATTCTTCCCATACCTCCAGTCATCAATATTCTGATTTTGCTCAGTTTTTATACATTTCAAACTCTTGAGAATTAGTTTTAGTTTAGAGTTATTTATTTTGATTATTAAAATGAGGCAATATCAAATGAAAAACGATATACTGTAAAAAATCCAAAACGCTTAAATTATTTTATTACGAATTGGAATTGTACATATTTCATTGTGAAATTTTAATATTTTAAAATTGCAGATTTGTTAATTTATTTTTTTATTTTTTTTAAATCGAAATAAATCAATTAAAAGAAACAGTTTTTGTCATAGAAATAATTATAATTTTATAAAGTGTGGAAAATAAATTTTCTCGGTGACATTTATTTCTAATAAAAATTTCCAATTTCTTATTTCATATTTTAAAAATTGTTTCTTGTTTTTGATCGACATTTCTATTATATGTGTCTTGATCTTCTTTATTAATTCATCGCTTATTTTCCTTTCTCTTTCTCTGATCATTCATTTTTTTCTTTTTACGGATTTTGAGAAAAAGGAAAATGAAAAGATATTTTATCTAATTGTCTATGAATATTATGTACAATTACATTTGACAGTTATTGAATAATTAGTTTTCTTTCAGTTGAAAGTTTATTATACAGTAATGATTCTCATTTTTTTTTAAAAATTTTTCTTTTTATATTATATTTGATAGTTAATGCCAATAAATTTTTTGATTTTTTTTGTTAATATCAACTATTTTAAGGAAAAAAATTTCAAGAAAGATAGCTGAGAATTAGGAAGTCGCTCTAAACTAATTGTGAAAAATAAGTGGATTTATTCGATTTGCTTATTGCTTATTGACAAAAAAAAATATGCTAATAAACATTTATATTTTAATGCATGGAACGAAGTTATTCACGCAAACGTAAATAAATATCAAGCTTAGTGATCGTTTTTTTTTCAACGGTACAACAATTTGCTGTTTGAATATTTCTTAGAATTCTCCGTTGGAAATAGAAGCGGTCGAATTATCAGAGAGTAATTTTATGCAATTTTTTTAATGCATTTATTGATAATCATTGATAAGGAAAGTTTGCAGTGATGAAAATATTTTATAGAAATAAATAGATATAGGTGAATGGTGGAACTAAACAAATAGTTTCTTGGAAAAAGAAATCTATGAAAAAATTTATTTAAAATTCATAATCGCAATATATTTTAGTACCATTTATTAATATGTCTTCATGTTTTTGATTCACAGATTCCATGCATGTTTGAACGACAACAAAAATAAATGCAATAGATTTTTTCAAAATTAAAATTTTATTAATAGTATTCTCAAGCAATATCGCTTCTAAATTATTTGCTTTTATATTAAATCTATTATTGATGAATTTTTTGAAAAATAATTTAAAATAAAAATAATTTGAAAAATAAATAATTTAAAATAAAAATAATTTGAAAAATTGCGAGAATAGATCGGTTATCTTCAGCGTGTAAGCCGCCGCCGCCGCCGCTGTCTTAAACGAATCATCAACGTGTTTGATGGTTGCGATACATACGAGTCGCCGCACCAATGGGATTTCTGGTACAAGCTTTGGAGAGGAGCTGAACCTCGGCTTTAACGATCCGAAATGAGCGCAATAACCCACTGAGTCATTGTTGCTCCGAAAAAATGAACATTTAAATAATAAAAGAATTAAATTGAGTAATTTCGATATAAAAAAAGTATTTTAAAATAACATTTTAGTGTAAATTTATTCAATTTTATGAACAATTTTATGGAATTTTACTATGAAAATTTTTATTAAAAAAAAAATTACGACTAATTTTCTCTTTTATATAATTTTTATTGAAAAATCACTTAAATGTTTACCTATCATTTGCAGCAATCAATTCTTTTGAAATATTCATGTTGATTTCGATTATAAATTTTAAGCGATTCCATTATTGATAATTTATTTTATGATAATTTAAAAATTTAATAAAAATTAATAATAAATTAATCAATTAATAATTTTTTAATAAAATAAATAATAAAAATTTTTTTATTCATTCATTCATTCATTTTCGATTCAATTATAACGATTTTTAATAAAAATTTATTAAATTTATTGATTTATTTTTTTATAAAAATTAATTTTAAAATGAAATAAAAAATTAGAATTCTAATAAAAAATGCTAAAAATAAAGCGGATTTTTTGCAATGATTATCGAAAAATTTTTTAAAAATATTCATTAATGCAAAAAGAGGACATATCGACTGAGCGAGCATTGTGTTGTTTTTTCCACCGAGGACAATTTCGATTTCTATCGTTTGTACGCACTAAATCTATTATTAAAAGTGGAATTCCACTGAATCACTTATATTTCTATTTTCAAGCGATTCTCCGGTAAAAAGGTTGTTTTAAAATTACAATTGTAAGTAAGCGACGTAATTTTGCATGTTACAGCAAATGCATGAGTTTATGTATGTTCGTCATAAGAATGTTTGCATAAGATCCATGGATCCATAATGATCAACTTCTTCTAACGATTCGAACCATTGCTGATTTGAGTGGTGGAGTGGTTCAGTGGTGATTAGGCTAAGTGGTGAATTTATTTGCAGCATTATGCTCGTATAATTTAATGAATGAATTTCGCCAATTCAATAATAATATTGCACATATGCAACCGGATTTGAAATGTTTTTCGAATATAAAAACTATGATAATAAATTGTTTTAGTTGCTAAAAAAAAGGAATTTTGAAAAAAAAGAATTTATTGATAATAAAATAAAAGAGAAATAGAAGTTGTTATTGAATGGAAGAGATGACAGCTGATAAGTGATAAATGTCATTTCATTGGTTTTTCTTAAAACTAATTCTTAACACAAATATACCTTTGATTCTTTGCCATTTGACCGTTGTCCAGTTGGCTTTTTTTTATTGCAATTAATAAGTAAGCAATAAAAAATTTAGATTGACAATTTTTCTTATAATTACCATATATTTCCATTTTTATTTCCAAAAGTGCTTTCATTTTTTTGGTATTCTTTTATTATTTGTATTATTTTTTTCAACTTTTTTCAAGCTTATGCTTGCTTTGAATGAAGATAACTGCAAAACTGCAATTGCAGTCAAAGAACCACTCAGTTCTTCGTCTAAATTTTAATAAGTTTTACTATCCAAGAAGGTACGTATTATTACTTTTTTATTATTTGTTTTCTTATCGTTTATCGCGAATTTGTATTTTAAAAAAGTAGATTGTTTCTTAATATTTTGGATATTTTCATGAATTAGTTAGTGATAATGTGATTTACTTGATTTCCGATAATAATTTCTGATAATACTTGATTTCTGATAATAATAATTTCCGATAATAAATTAAAATAATATTTAGCATTTATGATTGATTCCTAAATGAAACAATATAGTTGCAAGCATCATTCACTTCTTCTTAGCAGTGCCAATTCATCTCAGAATGATGCCTCGAATGAAATCCCATTCGTTTTAAATCATACGGATTGATGAATTAGGTGCACACCCATCGAATCGCAGTTTGAAGAAGTGATAATTATTTACTCATCATCGTCATTTTTTCACTGCATTGCAGTTTAAAAAAAAAAAAAAAGTTCCACTCATCTTTAAATATGAAATTTATTAATATCAAATATAAAGCATAATTTTCTTTTAATTTTTTCAAAAATTTCAATGTAGTAATAAATTTTTTATGATCGTCCAAATCAAATATTTATCAAAAATTGATAAATTTCTTTTTTATTTTTCAGTCAAATAAATTTTAAAAAAAAGAAGCTTCAAAATAAAAACTGGTTTTTGGAGAAATTTTCTCGGTAAAATTTTTTTAAATTTTGTTTATATCGTTTAGAAATAAATAGATAAATTCCAATAGTTTTAATCTATATAAATATCGATAAAAATATATTATGTTGCTGAAATTCATAGAGCAACGACTGAAGCGATTCATTTTGCTTCATTTTTCTCGCTGTTTACTCTTTGTATAAATATGTTTTTGTGGATGGTCTTTAATATTATTTTATTTAAATCTAACCTAACACAAAACAGAAATGGTGCATAGCGGATGGATCAAATATAGAGGTGCAAATTGGTTCCCAGCTACCACTCAGGCACTTTATTTTTTATGTTCAAAAATCTCGTTAACGTACAAGAAATCATACGCATATTGCTCGTTCTCTTCTTCCTCTCAGATGAATATATCAAAATAATTTCGATATTTATATTTTTAATAGATAGAAAAATTTTTGAAAAAAGCAAAATGTAAATTATTCATTTAAAATAAAATTAAATAAAAAGGCAAAATATGTGAGTTAATTAAATATTATTTAAATTTTAATATACATATTTCTGCACTTTCCAAACCGATAGAATACTATGTAGAATAAATTTTTTTTTAAAAAGTCCTCACCACTGCTGATTAAACTCCCTGGCTTGTCGCACTGGAAAAATATTGCCAGGGAATTCCTTGCAACAGAAGTACAGGTGAGTCGCCAGCATTATCCGGATTTTTGGACAAGTTTAATCCTTCGCGCTGAATTGAGCAACAACCCACTGAGCCATTCTATCCATTTTATTGTAATATAGAATAATACCCATTTACTATATCCATTTACTATATATACCCATATACATACCCATACAATTTGCTAAGTTGATAGTATGCTATTTAGGATACCCATTTATTGTATATACTCATACCATTTATACCCATTTTTTAAAGCTCATCTTCATCGTAGATTTGAAATATGGTGAAACAAAATGTTATTTGACGGAATGAATTATAATGAAAAGGATTATTTTTCTGCATATTATAAGAGTAAGAAACTTGTGAAACTATATATTTTTGCATTTATTTTGCGGACAAAATGGTGCAATTATTTCCAACTTATTTTATCACCTTATCACTTGTTAATAGAATTCATTAAAAATTAGTTGTGGGTATTGAGTTGCAGATTTTTTTTTTTATTATATATTTCTTGCTGTTGAAATCGAAATTTATTTAAAACCTTTTAGATAAATTTAAAAAATTAAAAAAATTTAGATATTTTTCTTTTCGTCTATTATAATTCAATTCGAATAAAATCGTTATTTTTAATAAATTTTTCTTTTTTTTTTTATTTCTGCAAACTTCATATTGTATAAAGTTTGTTGCAAATGCATTAATGCATTAATATTGCAGAATTTATTCATTTTCTCTTTAAATACAAGTCAAATCTTGATAAGAAGAATGCTTATACAACATATTATCATTAAACCTTCACGGCTTCATTCTTCCGTCATATCTATGCGATCATTGGCTACAGTGCAACATCAAGCGCGCGAGTTTCGTAAGGTGAGCAATTTTGGACTATTTCTTGTTACATTTATTACAATGCCATATGCATTATGCCATATATTTTAAAATAATTTGGAAATTTGTCTAGATAATGGTTGCAAATCGTGGCGAAATAGCGATCAGAGTTTTTCGTGCAACGTCAGAACTTGACAAAGTTTCGGTTGCCATATATTCAGAACAGGTAATTGCTATCACTGATTATGCACACAGATATTACATGAATTATAAATTATTTATTGGTTATTGGTCATTTTCTATGCCAAAATTCTTATTTCTGTTCTGTAGAAAGAAAGAAATTAATTGATTAGTGGTCCAATCTTGCTGTAATATTATATATTCGGATTTTATGGTTATTAGGTTAACAAAAAAAATTTGCCTAAGTTTTTTGCGAAAATTAAAATTTATTCTCTCAATAAGAAATGCACCGTTCTAGGACAAGAATTCTATGCATCGCTACAAAGCTGATGAAGCTTACCTTATAGGTAAAGGCAAAGCTCCCGTTGATGCATATCTTGGAATCGAAGATATTATCGAGATAGCCAAAAAGGTAAACCCTACTTCATGCCAATCTTTTCTCTTTTCTTTGCTTATTTTTTTAATTATTTTGCTGTTAATTAATCATTACCGATGATTTATGCCAGGAGGGTTAAAGAAGGTTAATCTTAAAATTTTGTGAAAAACTAAATTGAAATAACATGAACGCTTCGAAATTCAGTTATTTTATTAAAAATGAAATTATTTTAAATTATAAATAATAATAATTGTTAATAACAATTATTATTATTATAATTATTTTAAATTATTATTATTTTATTAAAAAAATAAATTGAAATATGAATCATTTTTTGATTTGTTCTGATTTGCATTGCATTGAGAAAATAAAAATATTTGTTTGACATGGAAAAACAGTTGCATTTTGCTTAGCCTAAATTGGTTTGTATGTGTAAAAATAAAGATTCGATATTATTTTGAATAATTTTCTTCGTTTATAGTACAATATTGATGCCATTCATCCAGGCTATGGTTTCCTCTCAGAAAGAGCGGAGTTTGCGCAAGCTTGTTGGGATGCCGGAATTGCATTCATTGGTCCTTCGCCAAAAGTTATTGCACAAATGGGTGACAAGGTTTCTAAATTTCCATTAAATTTCCATTAGAACCGTTGAATTCTAAATTTTGATTTCGAAAGGTTTAGATTTGTTTTGTTTTTATTAATTGATTGTACGAATACTTCTTTCAAAAATCATCTATTAAGGTAGCAGCTCGTAAAGCAGCCATCGATTCCGGTATAAAAGTGGTACCTGGAACATCAAATCCTGTCACTTCTGTTGAAAAAGTCAAAGAATTTGTAGCTGAGCACGGTACGCCAATCATTTTGAAGGCTGCGTTTGGTGGTGGTGGTAGAGGAATGCGTCGTGTGGATAATGAAAAAGATGTTAATTATATTTATTACTTTAATAAAATGTTGCTACTAATCATTGAACTGCAAATTGACTTTAGAATAACTTCATGGCACTTTTAATTTCTTTTATTTAACAGGTAAAAGAATCATTTGAAAGAGCTTTCTCTGAAGCGAAAGCCGCATTTGGTGATGGCTCATTATTTGTTGAAAAATTCGTTGTTCGGCCTCGCCATATTGAGGTTCAGATTTTAGGTTAATTTTTTTTTTAAAAAAATTTTATCAAATTTTACTGTATATCCTCAATGATCCCAATGATATATATGATAGAATCATAATTAATTTTAAAGTGGAATCAATTTATAGGTGATAATTATGGAAATATTATACATTTATATGAACGCGATTGTTCAATTCAACGACGACACCAAAAATTAGTTGAAATCGCTCCAGCACCTGCTTTACATAAAGAAGTTCGTGATAGAATTCTTTCCGATGCTTTGCGAATTGCTAAACATGTTGGATATCAAAATGCAGGTTGTAAACTCATTGAAATATTCTATTTCTCTCCTTCCGCCTTCTATTAAAATATTATTTTATCTACGGAAAATCGAAGTTTTAGCCTCATCATACATCGCTTTGAAGTTGAAATTTATTTTTTGAAGCACATCTATTTCCACTACAAAATTTTTAAGGTACAAGAGTGATTATATGAATTGGTGTATCCTTCTCAGTAGCCGTCTTCAATTCTTTATGTTCTTCTTAATAGCCATTTTGAAAAAAAACTGACGTTTTGTGAGCGGTCGCCTCTTCCAATTCCTTTATTAAGATTTAAAAAATAATGATAATAATAATTATTGATTATCACAACTCTTCTTTTGAATACCACAAATGATAAATTTTAAAATTAATATAATTAAAATCTGCCAATGACTGAAACAAACAATCTAGGCACTGTTGAGTTCCTGGTTGATGAACATGGTAACCACTTCTTTATTGAAGTGAATGCTCGATTACAAGTGGAACATACAGTGTCGGAGGAAATCACTGGGTTCGGAGATTTTATACATTTCATCTATCATTAGTAACAAGGCTATATTTATAAATGCATCAGTAGTACTTCAGTGGGAGCTGTTAAATAATTTTTTCAAAAAAGTAGTTGGGAAAAAATCTATATAAAAAATTTTTCCACACTGTATAGGACCATATGGTGAAAAATAAAATAAAAAATTAAATCTTTAGCCTTCAGCCACCTGAAAATAACCCGAAATATTTGGTAGAAATAAATTAGTAAGGAAAGAAAAACAATTACCTTTTGATGTCATATAGAATCTCCTAACAGTAAGATCTCTTTATCTTACAGTTTAATATAGGAAAGATCTCCTTAATGACTAACGATTAGTTATACTAATGCAGAAGATTGAGGTACGACCAATGAAAAGAAATGATTACTTTTGAGATTTGTTAATTTCACTAGAGATTTTGACAGTCGAATTTCCATTTCTTTATTTTAGCTTGACAAAAACTTACTCATACTTTAATAATGATTTAAACATCGGATAGTCTATAAAATTTTTTCTTTTTTTATAGCGTGGACCTTGTACAATCACAGATTAAAATCGCTGAAGGTAAATCTTTAGAGGATATAAAACTTTCGCAGGATGCAATACATGTTAAAGGTTGCTCCATACAGTGTCGAGTAACTACCGAAGATCCGGCTCGTGGCTTCCAACCTGATTGTGGCAGAATTGAAGTAAAAACATTTTGTTAATTTTCTATATAACAAGTCAACTAACAGTTTCGGAAATTTTTTCTGTTTTTGTGCAAAACTTTTTACATAAATTATTTAACGATTTTTTTAAAAATTTATGGATGCCTTACTAATTAAACTTTTTTAAATAGTGGTAGCAATTAATACAAATTTCGACATTAGCAAATTACATTGCAAGTTATGAATTTGCCGTAAAAATTTTTAAGACTCGTCCTTATGAACCTTAACGAATTTGAATTTAGGTTTTCCGCACTGGTGAAGGAATGGGTATTCGCCTGGACTCGGCTATTTCTTTCGCTGGTGCCATTATTTCTCCTCATTACGACTCTCTGCTTGTCAAAGTAATATCTTCTGCTCTAAATCATAAATGTGCTTGCAGAAAAATGGCACGATCACTCAGCGAATTCCGCGTTCGAGGTGTTAAGGTTAGCTTTTAAGGTTAATCGTTGTAAAATCATCAAAAATGCGTTTGTTGGTTAATTCAACAGTGGTTATAAATTTTAAAGCATCGACTGAACTGATATATTGCGCATTGAATGTTTTTTTCCTATTGCCTAAATCCAACCAGTTATCACCGTGGATGTTCCAGTTTTTTCAGTCTAATAAAATAAAAGATTGATGGTTTGTCAATATTTGTCCATAGCAAGATATCACATTTGATTGATATCACAAGAATATATTGGTCTCTAAATTGTTAAAAGTGATTCAGCTGATCGCTCGCAAAATTCATTATCAATACTGCTAAATGAAGTGCGCGCAAAAGGCAAAAAGAACGCGAATGGTCCGCTAAATATTCACATATTCATTAATCATTTCGTTTATTCTCTTTCTGTCTAATATATCAGCTTGAAATTATACTATAAATATAAATAACATAAAATATTTTTGCCTATAGTATTGGGGAAAATGAAAAAAATTGACGGGGTTAGAAAGATGGACTAATCTAGGCAAATATCGAAGGCCAAGCTTAAGCTCGTTTTGCAGCACTAAACATAGGCTTGAATGTAAAATCGCTGACCAGTACCGCACATTAAAAAAAGAAAATTATTATATAGAAGGTACATATATGATACGATATATATATTTTTTTTAGACAAACATTTCGTTTTTGCTAAATGTATTGCGTTCACCGAAGTTCTTAGATGCTGCTGTTGATACATACTTTATTGATGAAAATCCAGACTTGATGGATATCGCTCCAAGCCGAAATAGAGCTCAAAAACTTCTCAAATACATTGGCGAAGTACGAGTGAACGGACCTTCAACACCACTGTTTACAAATTTAAAGCCTTCCAAAGCTAAAGCACATGTTCCAGAAATCCCGTCTGGTTTGTAGTTTATATGAGATTTTAAAATGTAAATTTCGCGAAGTTTGCCTTGAACTACGACAAAAAATAATCGAATCGAAAAGTCAAAATCAATATTTTAAGGGAAAGTTCCTGGAGGTTTTCGAGATATTTTGCTGAAAGGTGGTCCAGCAGCATTGGCAAAAGCTATTCGAAAAAATGCTGGCTGCCTAATCACGGATACAACCTTTCGAGATGCTCATCAGAGTCTATTAGCAACTCGCGTTCGTACTTACGATTTACTTCAAATTGCTCCTTTCGTTTCGCATTCACTGAACAGTCTCTTCTCTCTGGAAAATTGGGGAGGTAATGCGATTATTTTACTATTAAAGAAAATGAAATTGAGAAGGAATATTAGAAATGATAATTGGATTCTATAAATCAATGGTATAAATTTGAGGATAAATTAATTCATAAAACCTTTCCTATAATTTTGTTTTTTTGAGAAAAAAATTTTTTCTCAAACTTCTTCGTGATTCTAATAAAAATTCATATTTATTTTGCCAATTTATTTTTAGATTACCATTTATTTAAATGAAATGTTACAATTCGTAGGGAGTATTCTTTTATAGGAGCAACTTTTGATGTAGCGATGAGGTTTTTACACGAATGTCCATGGGAACGATTGGAAGCGTTAAGAAAAGCGATACCAAATGTTCCTTTTCAAATGCTACTTCGGGGTGCAAACGCTGTCGGATATTCAAGTTATCCTGATAATGTCGTTTATAAGTTAGTTTCAAACGACGGGATTTTGAAAACAATTGTTGCCGAAAATTTTTAATGTGAAACTTTTTACTATAATCGAAATAAGAGGACTAATTTAAAGTGCTTTTATTTGTTTAAGCGGGTTAGAAAGATTTGTGGATCATCGACAATATCCAGAATTTTTTCTTTCTTCTATCGGAGCAAAAAATCGAGCCTATCGACGCAAATCGAACAAACTATAACATTTTCAATTCGTTTATGCTTCATTATGATGGGTTATTGAAGATTCTGTGAATTGGCTGTGAAAAGTGGCATGGATATCTTCCGAGTTTTCGATTCACTCAACTATTTGCCTAATATTTTGGTTGGTATGGACGCAGTAGGTAAAGCTGGTGGTGTCATCGAAGCTGCCATATCATATACAGGTGATGTGTCTGATGCGACTAGAACCAAATATGATCTTAACTATTACGTCAATCTAGCGGGTCAACTCGTCAAAGCCGGTACTCACATTCTCGCCATAAAGGTATTTTTCACTCGAACCTTATTTATTAATTTTTCCCTTAGGCTTTACAATCTTTTTTAGGGAATAAATCAGTGATTGGACAACCTTACACGCTAATTTCCAGTCGGAATTTCCTCATCTTTTTATTCCAACAATAATATTCTAAGCAAAATTTATTCTAAGCAATTTTTTAGGACATGGCTGGTGTTTTGAAGCCAAAAGCAGCCAAATTGTTGATTGGTGCGCTTCGAGATAAATTCCCAGACACGCCAATACATGTACACACTCATGATACTGCTGGCGCAGGTGTGGCTTCTATGTTAGAATGTGCAGGAGCAGGCGCAGATATTGTGGACGCTGCAGTTGATAGCATGAGTGGTATGACTAGTCAGCCATCGTTAGGAGCTATTGTTGCATGTCTCGAAAGTACACCGCTCGCAACAGGTTTTTTATTATTCATCTTGATTTTGAAAAAATGTATTTTTATTCTTATTTCGAAAAATCTTTCTCATTTTTAGGCTGAAGTTGAATTATGAGAAGGATAAAATTTGTGAATAAAGAATAAAATTAAGTATATATTAAAAATTGGGGAAAAGGTTGACAAAATTGGTACTAATACTGAAAGATGTAGGAAGCGAAGTGCAAGAAATTAGCCGGATACGTGGTCAGCACAAAAAATGCGACAGGGCCTGTTGCACTATTTATGCCAAAACAAGATTCAGAGATTCTTTCAGGACTGAACCTTGATAAAATCTCTGAATACAATTCATATTGGGAAACTGCTCGGCAGTTTTACGCTCCTTTCGAATGTACGACCACGCTGAAGAGTGGTAATGCTGATGTATACAAACACGAAATTCCTGGAGGCCAATATACCAATTTGCAGTTCCAGGTTTTATATTTTTAAGCCATATAATCAATCAAACTATTGCAGTAGGAAATTATGATAAATCGAGCAAGATCATTTGAGGCTTTCTCGCTTGGACTTGGCAACCAATTCGACAACGTCAAGAAGATGTATCGTGAGGCTAATCTTGCCCTTGGTGATATCATAAAGGTTTGTAATTTGTTGATTTAATAGCTTTGTATTTCAAAAGCATTTGATTTTTTCCATCAGTCTTGTTCAGGTAACTCCATCTTCAAAAATAGTTGGCGACTTGGCGCAATTCATGGTGCAAAATCATTTGACACGTGAAAGTCTAGTTGAGAAAGCTGAAGAATTAAATTTTCCGCAATCGGTTATCCAGTTTTTCCAGGTTTTCGTTTTTGTTTTTTAATTTTTATACTAATTGAAATTAGCAAATTGCCAAAATTCGTCCCTCAAAATCCATCAAAAAATGGCCTTCGAATCATGCCATCGATAAAAAAATTCGCTGATCAAAATTGGCTTACTATAGGGTCTAATTGGTCAACCGCCGTATGGTTTTCCTGAACCATTGCGAACGAAGGTTTTGCGTAATCTTCCAAGGTATGATGGGCGTCCAGGTGAAAATCTTGAGCCTTGCAATTTTGAAGAAATTCAGACAAATCTTGAGGAAAAACACGGTCGAAAATTGCGGTATAATCTTTATACTTTCCAATAAATGCTATATTTAACAAAAAAACGTAAGATTTTTATAGCTTTCACTGGCATTTTCTATTTAATTTGTAATAAAAAGGATGCATGATAAGAGTAATATATATAATATATGATAAGCGAAATGGCATTCTTTATATTAGCTGATATAAGAAAATGATCCAGTAACTAGTTTGGTAACAAGCGGTGTCATTTCTAATGGTATGAAAGAGCTAAAAATAGAAAACTATTTGTTATACAACAGCTTTCTATACTATACTTCTTTATCACTTTTCTATTCATTTCGATTTGGTTTACCATTCTGCCATTCTGTTTATTAACGAAATACGATAGAAATTTTCCCGTTCATAATGAATAATATAAAACTAATTTAGCCAAATGTACTATTTTAATAAACTTTTGGGATTTGAAATTCTTTGCAAGACTTCTTATTTTTATCGCATTCTTATTGTATTAAAAAATTTTTTAAAAACTTACTAAAGAAAGGCGAAATGAAATGAAATGAAATGAATCTGGTTTAGTTTAATCAATTCACTAATTGAAGTGATGTGGATGTAATGACAGCAATAATGTTCCCTAAAGAGTTCGACGATTTTGAGCAAATGCGACAGACGTTTGGGCCTATGGATAAACTAAATACGCGAATCTTTTTAACTGGTTAGCAGTATTAATTAACTGATTAGGTAAGTAAGAGTTATGCTAATATTTCATTATTTCTAATATTTCAATGAAACGTTCATAACTTTATGAAAATATGAAAATACGGCAATTGTTAAAATTTTACATTTTATAGTTGTTAAAAAATTTGATTTTTAGTTAAATTATTTAAATTCGAGAATTAGAAAAATTATTTAAAATCTAAGTTTTTCAAACTATAAATAAATATATATAATTAAACATTATAATTCAAATATTAAATAAGCACTATTTCATGATAAATGAAAAAAGAATTAAAATTTTTTATATATAAATTACGAAAAGAAAATTTTGTGGAAAAAAAAAATCCCGGCCACTTTCTCGTTTCTATTTTTAATTTCTTCAATTTTTAAGATTTAAATTTTTTCCTATTTGTTAATGTTGAATTAAAATTTTTAAAAGCCTAATAAAAACGTATTCTCAGGATAAATTATTTTTCCAAATGTTGATTAACGCTTCTCTTGAGAATCTTAATTGAATCTTGGTCTTTGATATTCATTAAATGAAGTCTTGTAATTAAACTTTTCAATTTCGGCTCTTTTGGTTCCAATTTAGAATAATTATATAAATAATGGAAAAGTTGAAATAGCTTCTTTTTTTTACTGGATTTGACTCAATTAAGTAGAATGTGAAATGAAATTTTAAAAAGTTTAAAGCGGGAAAAAATTTGCAAAAAATATTGTCGTGAATATGAATGTCGTTTTTTTTTTAAAATTTCATTTAAACTGATTTTTTAATTATTAAAATAATAATTAAAATTATTCTTTCTTTCAGGAATGGATATAGCTGAAGTTACAGAAGTGGAACTTGAAAGTGGCAAAACTTTGATGATCACATTGCAAGCGATCGGTGATCCTAATCATCGTGGTGAAAGAGAGGTTTTCTTTGATTTAAATGGCCAACATCGCTCAATATTCGTACAAGACAAGGAAGCCTCAAAGGTATTGAAGATTCTTAATTAATCCTATAGAAAATGTTAATAAATGTTATTTTGTTTTGATTTTAAAAAAAATCTTAGATTTTAGCGAAAAACGAAATTCGTTGATTATAATTTGAGAAAATAATTCATCCTATTTAGAAAGGAAATTAATGGTTCCTTCGTGTTGTGAATATTTCGTTAATTTTTTACATTCATTTAAATCTTTTAATTCAAAATTTTTTTACAGACAATTGTTGCAATAAGTAAATTTTTTACTTTGAAAAATCTTTTTTTTTAGATTTTTTATTTTTTATTTCTGCAATAAATTTTTACTATATTTAGATTTATTTTAATGTACTTTTAATTTACCTAAATTCGTTTAGTGCTTAATTGAATTCTCGTTTGAACGCATTTGTTCACAACATAAAATCTCAAATCGATTGAGATATATAATAAATTGGAATTTTCGGGATTATCGAAATTTCCATTCTTTTCATCTAAAATTGTTGATTCGGCTTTTTTTTCTTCGGTCCATTGTTGCATGCTTTTTTTTTTTTTTTTTTTTTTAAAAAAAGTAATTCGTGACAATCATTTGCATGAATACAATAAGGAAATAACGAATTTGTAGACGAATGTTATTTGCATTATTATAATTCATTTATAATATTCTAATATAAATTCGTATTTAATTTTATTTGATTCTTTTTAGCAAATAATAAATTTTAATAAATCTTTTTAGCTTTTAAACGCCTTTCAAAACTTCACAGTTGTCATTAAAAATAATAATAATAATTAAAAAGAGAAATATTAATTTTAAATGTTGTACAACAATAAATATTAGCCATCAACTACGCTATTTTATATTTGGCTTGTAATTATTATATATAAATCTTATTTTATGAGAATTTAAAATAAATATGCAATATTTATTTTTTATTCATATCGATCTACATTCGAAAGATAATTTATAATTCGTTTTTAGGAGATGGTAGTACGGCCTCGAGCAAAACTTGGTGTGAAAGGTTCGGTTGGAGCGCCTATGCCTGGTGAAGTTCTTGATATAAAAGTTAAAGAGGGCGATAAAGTATCACTAAAAACACCGCTATTCGTTTTATCGGCAATGAAAATGGAAATGGTGGTTGATAGTCCAATCGCTGGAGTGGTTAAGAAGATTTACTGTGCTCCAAAAACTCGAGTAGCTGCTGGCGATCTCATTATTGAGATTGATCCCGTTGCAAAATAATTGAAATAATTTCATTTTTTTAAAATAATTTTCCATCATAATTTTCCATTAAAATTATGGGTGCTGTGTGTGATTTGGGAATCATACTAAATTAGATGCTTGAAGAAAATTTTACAATTGCCCGCAATTTTTCGGCAAATTTTTCTAATAAAAAAATATTTGAAAAATGACATATGTAGGTGATTTCAAATTTAGTGACATAGGATCCACTAGCACGATCAGCTTAAAACGATGTGGTTTGTTAATCTCGGCCCGTTAAAAAATAAATAATAGAAATAAAAATAATATGATCCGAGCAAATGTTATACGCTCAGCTTCTTCATAAAAAAGACAAGTGAAATTTTTGAAGGCATATAATCAAAAGAAAAAATATCTGTGCATGACCTCTTAAGAGAAATATTTCTGTTGCTTGGAATCCATTGAAACAATACAGAAATCCAAGGATTCGAATTTTAATAGCAAAATCTTAGGCTTAACAAGAAATAATTATGATTCTTGAATATAAAATATCTTTTGATTATATGCCTTCAAAAATTTTACTTGTCTTTTTTATTTTTAGTCGCTCATTCGCTTAGTTTGACATCGTTAATTGATATTGATATTGTTCTATAATTAAAATGTGTTCTCAGAAATTTTTTGTATGTCAAAATTTCCAACATTGCTGCAAAAATTTTATAAAACATATAGAATAATAATTGTTTCGTGCCTCGAATGTTTTTTTTTTTTGAATTACCAATTAAATATTTTCAATTTTCGAACAAAGGTGTACACGTGGCTCTGATCTTATGCTCGAATACAAATTTGAAAAGCGGTATAATGGCTTCGATTTTTAGAATTATATTAGAATAATAACAGAATTTTGAAAATCTGCGAAAGTTGCTGTGGTTAATCATGAAAAAAACATTAAAAAGAAAGTATAATTTGGAAATAAAAAATACTTCAAGAAGAAGATATCTGCTTGTGGTTTTTATTGCATTTGCATTAAAATAAAGATTGCGAAAGTCATCATCAATGAATTTCCCATAGTTTTTTCCCATAGCAGTGGTCAAATTAAGAATTGTCTGCAATACATCTCCATATCTGTAGGTTATAATTAGTTCGGTTTTGAAGCGTGAATAAAAGTGCTATCGTTTTCCTATAGATAAAAAAACTACTGCTATTTGAACCTAAAATAGGGGCTCCCAGTTAGCTGCATTAATTCGTTACTTTTTGCTTTCGTTGTACTAACGTTGATGATTGCTTATTTGTGTGTTTTGCAAGTTTAATTAATAAATATTTTTAATGGCTAATCATATTAGCATAAATAGCCGTTGGCTGCAAAGAGAAAATATATTATCACAGTTGTCAATTTTTCTTTATCCATCCTCTAAAATTAGCGCTTAATATTTCCGATTAGTTAGATTTAATATTAAGAACTCTTAAGACTCTTAAGACGATTAAGACTCTTTCACCAGAAATTTGCTTGAAGACAGAATAATAGGTGAGTTTCCACAATCACCTGGATTTCACTTGATATGCCGTTCAATTCACTAATTGAGAAACTCTATTTTGCACCACGATAAAATTATTCGAAAAAATTTATTGTTGTGGATCCAACCTCTGTTTTTTTTGTCCTATTTCGTTAGTCAATTTATCAATATCCAATCACCTATTTAGCTATTTATTAGTATAAAGCCAGGTTAATCTATCTTAAAAGTTTTTAGTTCCAATGATAATTGTTATTGCATTAACTGCTAATTGATGAGCATTTTTAATTAACGATTTTGCAATAATCTCTTTGAAAATTACGATTAACTCAATTCCATACCGATAAAAATTTCTTCTTTTTTTTTCTTTCTGCTGATATATCGAATTCCAGACTGCAAATATAAATAGCTTGGAATCTCATTAGCATTATCATTTGGTTCAATGGATTCAAGCATATCGCTTTTTTAACGTATCACCTAATTGTTCAATATTTTATTCTTAATGAATACTCTTCATTGACCAATGATTCTTAATAGCGTTGCGGTACAATTAATTAATCATGCGATTATTAATTTTAATAATTAATTCATATAATATAATATGAAACTAAGAAGAGAAGAAGAAAAACGGCTAAAAAATCCTAAATTGATTATATAAAGAAGGTCGGCTGAGAACACCGATCCGTTGCTATTCTCGCTAGCTATCGCTGAACTCGCTATAACGCTTGGCCTTATTGCCATAATTATTCTCTCCTTTTTTTTTATTCTTTTTTTTGCTGCTAATAAATTATAATCATCATGCTACTGGATTTACCGATAAAGTCGAAAATGATCACTGTTCGATATCGTAATAATCAACTTACATCAAAAAGATGTCATTTATTTGTTATAACAATTTTTTTTGGACTTACATTATTTTTCACTTTTTTGTTGCTACGTTTAGCTTTTCGGCGAACTGCAACACCTTTATCAAATATTCCGCCAGAGGGCAACCAATATTTTCGGCTTCCAACAACACTTCAACCATTCCGCTATAAACTTCAAATAAAAGCCTATCTACCATATCGACAAATTTACGATTTTGGTACAAAAAATTTCACTATCGAAGGAGCAGTTCGTATCGATTTCACTTGTCTAAAAAACGATAATAAAATTATACTGAATGCAAAAGAACTACAACTTCGATTAGCCGATGTTCGAGTCTCTAATCATCGCAACGAAGAGATACGAGTCTTAAGTGGTAAACAGTATATACAGGAACGTGATGATATTCATATTATTGAGTTTATTCTGGATGAAACCTTCGAAAGTGGATATAACTATTCTATTGATATTACTTATACTGGAATCATTGGTGATTCGTGGGCTGGAGGACTCTACAAAACAAATTATGAAACTGATAGTGAAACAAGGTAAGATTTTTCATGACATTGGTACTATGAAATGCAAGTCACTTTGCAAGTTGCAAAAGATTTTTCAACCATTATTTATCATATTTAACGAATCTAGCCAATTACACCGTTTTGAAAAAAATGAAGTACCATTTGCATATTCAGTTCATTGTGCAAAAAAGTTGTTTGCTGAAATAATTACGGTCATCCTAACATTATTATGCAATTTCATTTGTATCTGATTTTATCTTTCCTGCAATTTCTACGTGTTTATTCATGCTAACGGCCATATTTGGCCACATTTATTGTAATAACCATAGAATGACCATATATATGTACAACAACGATAAGCAAAACTATTATAGAATAAGAGCGATAATTCTAAAAAGAATATTTAAGAGTAAAATTAAATTATTATCTTTTTCACATCGAAATAGCTCGTAATTTCTCTTCATTAGCCTCATTTCATTTGACTTTTCATTTAATTCCTGGCTAATTTTATTTATTAATTTTTTTTTTATTTTATTGATAGAATTCAAGATATTTGCAAAAATAATTCGTTATCGAGAGCGGCTTTCGATGTACTAGTCTCCTCCACTTTTATTAGGCTGCAAGATGATATCAAAGAGCTACTCTGGTAATAAATTTATCAGTATTAATAAAAGGAATTTTTCGATGTGTAAAGGCTTCATCGGATCAAAATGATTATTTCAATGTTACATTATTTAAAATATTTTGGTTAAAATTAATATTATTTTGGTTAAAATGTTGGAATATTTTGGCCAAATTTCATAAAATCGTCCAAAGAGATTTTGTTTAAATGATAAATTTTGATGAGATATTTTTTCTATTTTTTCAGAAATATAGATCAATTTTTTTCTTTAAAAATATTCTATAAATAGAAGTTTATGAAATATATCTCCAATTTTTCAAACAGTAAATCGTTTAAGCTTTTTAGGCTTTAGGCTTTTTGGAAAGTGCATTGCTTGCTTGAACTTAATGGTAAAGAAAAGGAGCGGAAATAATAGTCGTTCACAGGCCCAGCAATTTTGGCCGATAAATTAACTGAATATATGCATAAAATTTGTTTTGTCTGCAGATGCTGAAGTTTTTCTTCAGATCCTTTTTGGAATAACTTTAGCTTGATTATGCGAGAATTCCTTGAATTTTTTATTTTTCTTCGTATGAAAGATAAAACTTTAAAAAAAAGTTCATCAGTTTTCTATTTATCCTTGCAGCGTATATAAAATGGCACTCATCATTTCTCGTTTCATTGGATCCACAGGCTATTAAGATGAGTATCACCTGGAGAAAGGAGCAGGTGGATCACGTGAATTTTACTTTTATTTGACACATTCACTTCTGTCAAATAACAGTAATCGAACCTATTGTGATACTTAAATTTAATCGAAACATGATACCACTACCATACATACCACTATCCCATTCTAATAATGTTATCTATTTATAAATTTTTAAGATTAAAAAAATTATCATGTTTTGTTCGCTTCGCGTCCCTCCTTTAACATTCCTTTCTTCCACTGATAAAATGTCACATTCGATGTCGCATTCATACACACAGGTAGTAATTCTTTTAGCTTGAAAGAAATAGTCCAACGAATGGTACTTTATAAAGAACTGAATGGAAAATTTCTTAATAGCTCCAGTTCCAATATTTTTTATAAGATTTCATTTTTTTTTCGAGATTATGTTGGCAGAAAAGAGTGTCCTTTTGTCCATGCTATTCATAGAACAACAAGCAACTGCGATTCACTGATGTAAGCTTTAATAAAATTGTCGCATTAAAACTTAAGCCTTAAGCTTATTTTAGCTAATCAACAGGGAAAAAAAGAACAAAGCTACGACTAATAAGCCTTAATGCAAAGTCTTCGTAGTGAATTCAGCGGTAAAATAAAATTAAAGTCCAACAAATACTTCCGCTTTATCGAATGTCCGTTGGCTAATCTATGAAATATAAATAAATCTCTTAATAATTAAATATTTGATATAAAAGAAAGGTTAAAGGAAGGAAATATGCCCGTTAATGGCAATTTCTTCTTCCTATTAATTTATTATTGGATCTTTGAATTTTTTGTAGGCATTAATGATTTGATCATTTCAGGTCATTAGCTATAACTCAACTTCAACCAACCGATGCGGCACGCCTACTGCCTTGTTTTGATGAACCGGAAATGAAGGCTGAATTTATCATATCAGTTATTCATCCGACAAATACTTCCGCTTTATCAAATGCTGCTATAAACAGAATAAAAACTATAGATATGTTCGTATTTTATTTTTAATATGAAATAGTTGAATGCATAAGGATAAATGGAGTCAAATAGTTCAGCAAGTTATTGCTCTCATTTCGAAGTATCAATGGCGGGGTTCTACTCTCGGCAGGAAAAAATCACTGTGACTCGCTACTGTAGTGACTTATGAGTACCTCTATCACAAAGTGATTCCCTAACAAAATTTGTCCGGTTCGGCAAGCTAAACGGTGCTTGTTGAAACAAAAATAGTGAATACCTTTTTAAAAAAAAGGGATGAAAAACTTAGGTTGTTATTTGAGAAGAATGTTTCATTATGCTTTTTAAGATTTTTATCATTCCAATAGTCTTTTATTAAAATTCACTTGCATATCATATCGAAATTGCAAGCAGATCAGCGAATTGCACTATTCCTATTTTCTGTCCTTCACTCTAGTTTATTCGCTCATTAAATTAATCAAATTAAGCTATTTTGCATTTTTCCATTCAAATTCATAAATCCCAGAAGACCTATTGCTTTAGATATAAAGAAGAGCTCATTTAAGCTTTAGGCTTCAGTTAATTTGATACGACTATAAGTTGGTCTCATAACTGCATTAATGAAAATCTCGAACCTAAATTAAAGCCATTATCGATTTGATATAAATTTAGAATAAATTTAGAACAATTGTAAATTTAAAGGCTATGGAAGGAAACGTATTTCGAGCCAACTCCATTCATGTCGACATATTTATTAGCGGTGGTTATAAGCGATTTCGAATTTCGTTTTCGCTACTGCAATAATGTTGAGGTTATCCGATTAGTTTCTTTTTTTTCATGTCTATTTAGATATATTTTCTTCTAACAGCACTAGCTATTTCTATTTCTGGTTTAATTGCCTCTATTGGCCTTTCGGCTGATACCCAAAGAATCGTTTTGGAACAGAAATTTAGGCGAATCCACAGCACCACTTGAATATATAATAATATTGTACATACTTCATTTATACTATAAAAGGCAAAATTTTGTACATGTTGTCCTTGATTTGCATGAAATTTAATAAAAATTCGTCACAAGTGGATTTTTGCAAAATCCAGTAACGGCTAGAGAATAACGATTCTCTAATGAGATACTATTCGAATTTACGATCTAGCAGTGTTTTCAATTCCTTGTATCAGTTTTTTCTGCTAAAGCCCATTATACTGGAACTTGCCCACTGTAAATTAAACACAGCCCATAAATCAAACTCATTGTTCGCTGAAGTGAATAATGCAAGGATAATGCAAATAGATCCGAAAAAGCGTGAATGTGTGAGTGGTGCTTATAAAACTTTTCGTCATCCATATGCAAGAGAGAGATTTACTAGGTAACGATAAAACGGATAGTTACTGAAATATAAAAGCTAAGCTAATGTTTATTATTTAATGCTTGAGTATATAGATAGATTCAGATTGGATTTGGCAATACTCGTAAGGGCATTATTCTTTTAACATTTCCTCATCATTTTCAGATCAGAGTGTGGGCACAACCACAAAAAATCGAAACTGTTAATTTTGCTTTGCATATTTCTTGTCGCATTTTGGCTTATTATGAGGAATATTTCGCAATACCATATCCTCTCAAAAAACTTGGTACTTTCATTTCAGTTTCAACTTTCATTTTATTGAATATTTTTAACATTTTTGAATATCTGAAAGAAATAATATACTTAATTAATACAAAAATATATATTAAATAAAATTCAATTAAATAAAATTGCTTAAGTACATTCAACTGATAATTTGATCAAAGGCAGCTCATCTTAAACCAAAAACTTTGCAAAATTCCTATTCCCATAAATTTCTATTTTCCTATTTTTCTCAGCTTTTATCATATTTCCTTGTCAACTAATATAAATCGACTAAAAGGTGCGAGGCATTTTGTCTTTACGTTTTTGCTTTCGCAATATAATCACTTGTAACAAACAATATTTTAATCTCAGCTTTTTATTATTAAATAAGTTTCATGGCATACCTTTGAAAATCTGAATTAGGATAATTGCACAAGCATGGTAGAGATGGAACACAAATTTTCCGCGTGGAAGAGCATGAGGAACCATGAGGAACGATAATTGCATTGTAATTTTTTGTGCCTAGTTTGTTTTAATTAAAATTTTCTTGCCAAGATATCGTTGCTGTACCTGAATTACGAGTCTTGGCCATGGAAAATTGGGGATTAATTACAATCCGTCAAAGACTCATCTTGTACGACGAAAGAATGAATAGCTACCGAGATAAACGCTTTGTGATTGACGTTCTTGCACACGAAATAGCACATATGGTAACAATATGAATTTTTTCTGGTCTTTCTGTCTTCCCGTTAATAATTAACAATTAATAAGACGAATTTAGAAAGATTTTCAAGAGCTGATTTTTTTTAGAAAAATTTATAAATTTGTCGTTCATAAAATTAAAATAAAGAAAATAAATTCTTGAAAACTATTTTTAGTGGTTTGGAAATCTTGTGACAATGCGTTGGTGGAACGATCTATGGTTAAATGAAGGTTTCGCATCTATGATGTCTCCGAAAGCAGCTGATTTTGTCGAAAATTCAACTCTAAGATCGGTGAAAAATTCAGACAAAATTAAAGAAACTTTTGGGCTTTTTCATGTAATAAAAGAATATGAAAATTTTATCTCATTAATGATAACCAATTATCATTTAAAAATACCAACAAGTATATCAATTTTATTTACTTTGCTACTTTAGTATCTTATTTCATTAGTAATGGTGCTGCTTTGTTGTTAATTGCATAAATAATATTATAAATAATATTATTATAATATTAATATTATAAACAATGAGAAAAATGACATGACATTCTTATAGAGTCAATATTTTGCCGCTGAAGTTCTAGTGAAAGCATTAGCAGCTGATGAACATACGACAACTACTCAAGCCATAAGTTTGAAAAAGGGTAGTGACCGGGTTTTTGGACAGGATTATAAGATCCTATACAACAAGGTCGGCAAATCTTATAATAACGTTGAATTTTTCAGAAGGAAGTCTATTTAAAATATTTTAGAATCATTTATAAATAATTATAAATTTTTTCAATTTTTTCAATTCATAAATTGAAATTAAAAGAATTTGTAAAAATTCGAAAAAGCCAGCGAAAAATTAGATGCTTTAATGCTGTAACTCACTAGAATCACCATTCATAGGCTAATAGCAAACAGTAAATAAAAGGAAACTATATAAATCTTGATTAACATATTTTAGGGAGCAGCTGTTTTACGTATGGTAGAATCAGCAATCGGTCAAGATGTATTTCAACAAGGCCTCAGGCAGTATCTAAAAAAATTTGCCTACGGCAATGCCGAGAAAGATGACTTTTTAAGAAGTTTTTCTCAGTAAGAATATATGTATTTGAAAAGGGTACAAGGGAAGTCCATATAAAATTTCGCCAAAAAAAAATTCCTTTTTATAAAATTGCAATCAAGATCTGTAAAATAGAGAAAACTAATCATTCATTCTGAATTCATTTGATAATTATTCGAAGCCAGATTTCTTCCTAGGGAGTGCAAAATGATAAAAGATGGTGGCGAGCAGTATCCTACCAATTTCTCAGTCTTCGATTTCATTAATTCCTGGATCTATCAGCGTGGAGTTCCAATCATTCATGTGGGCAGTTTTTCTTCTTGTGATCTTTCTGGGCATCAAAGTCAAAATCGACTTTGTAATTCAATATTAGAAAGATACACATTTAAGTGTCCAAACAATTCTCAATTTCTGTTGCTCAGTGCTATCCCGACGTAATCGCATTGGGCACTTTATAAAATGAAAAATAAGATATTTTAAATAATTTCTTCACAAATAAAACTAATTACACCCGCATTAAAAATCAAAATCGTTAGTGAAATCAAAATTAAAAATTTTGACACTCCAAAATGCATCAAAATCATGTGAATTTATTTCTCAATTCTTTTCTGGATATAAAACAAATAATTATCGCAGATTTATCCTATTTAGTATCTAAAATTGTTTTAGGTTCATCGAATACATATTAAACACTTTATGTTAACTCAGCATATTTTCGATAAAGATAACAACAAAGCATATGAAAATTCTTTATGGAAAATTCCAATTTTTATTGGCAGCGGATCGTCGAGAAGAGTGGTTTGGTTAAGTGAATGGAATAACGGTAAGTCACCATCAAATATTTTTTCATAAAAGATTATCAATTTTTGGACCAATTAACATTGCCTACCTTTATTTATTAACTGCAGTTTTTTTCTTAATTTTTTATGAAAGATTAATTATTAATTAAATCCAATTAACTAATCGCATTTAAAGTTACAATTGATAATGAAAAGAAACCTCTCGTATTGGACAATGATTTTCATGGCTATTATCGAATAAATTATGATATCGATACATGGTATGAAATAATTGACCAACTGTTGTTGGATCATAATGTGCTGCCTCCTGCCTCAAGGCTAAAATTATTGGGTAAAAAATATTTTTATTCTGATATCTTAGAAAAAAATGGGAAGAATATGGGCGATGAACAAAAAATATTGCCTTCGACAATAAATTTCTGAATTTTGATTAACTGTCGTCGATTTGTTCCGAAAAAATTTCTATAATCAATTGCTTCATTCAATAAGGTTCAAAGGCTTAAAATATGTCTCTAAAAATCACTGCGATAAATAAACTTGAAAAAATAAAACCTTAAAAAATAATTTATTTTTTTCTTTATTAAGCATTAAATATAAATAATAAAAGTAATTCTAATAGACGATGCATTTGTACTCGCCGAAAATGGTAATATACCTTATGCGATACCGTTGAAAATGAGTACTTATTTAAAAAATGAAGATGAAGTTGTTCCATTAATGATTTTTTTTGCGCGTAGCGATGTGATTTTGTATCGAATTTTTCGACATCCAAATTCTTCATTGCTAAATGTTAGTTCATATAAATTTTGTATAAATCGTTTTATATAAAATCATTTTAAAAAATCCCAAAATCATAAATTTATAAAAATTAACAAAAAGCGAAAATTTTCATATATGAACTATAAAATTTTAGAAAAACAGTGGTGCAAAAATGAAAAAACTAGATGAAATTATCATTTCATTTTCCCTAATTTTATTTTCTATAATCAAAAATATAGTCAAAATATAATCAAATTTTAACACTTCAAGAACCAATAGAATATTTTCTCTTTCAGGATTTCAATTATAAAATACTTTTACCGACTTTTTTAAAAATATTGGAAATAGAAAAGAAAAGGACAACGGCCAACAAAAACATCAAATATGAGTGAGAATTGATGATAATTGTACTAATTTCATATTTAGGAATAGTTGTCATCGATTTATTTCGAAAATGTCTCTGTAATCAATTCTGAATTTATTTAATAAGGCTCTGTTAATCATATCAATAGTATCGGTGTTTTGATCGTAAAAGATTTTTCCTTCTTTTGATTCGAGTAAAACTCTACGCAATTCATATAAAAACTAAAGTTTTAAAAAATTATTTTTTCCATAAAATTTTTTATTTTAGATTCCTTCGTGAATTGATTTTTATGAAAATGACTGTGATGGGTGATGAACAATGCATTCAATTTTTATACGGAAAATTTATGGAATTAAAGAAAAATTGTATGAATTACAGAATTAGTGACACATGCAACCAGTGAATATTTTATTATACTAATCAATTTCAATAATTTTGTCAATAAAAACAATTATTGAAATTGTGATATTTAGAAACTGGCAAAATCTTAAAGTTTTTCATTGCAAAGACAAACTAATAAAAAAAATTGTGGAAAAAAAATTATTTGTACAGATCAGATTTTTTTTTTTGTTTTCATTCTTCATAGATTTAAAATATTTTTATTTCTAAAAATCAAACCAAAATATTGGTAGAATGAATTTAACGAAGCAAAAATGTAAAATGTAATTGAATGTAGGCGTTCTACTGATTTCAGAATCGAACCAAGCGTTCGAGGATCTGTCTATTCCGCTGCGGCGAGATACGGTAACGATAGTGATTATACATTCCTCTGGGAAAAGTTTCATTTAGAACATGATCATGCTGAACGAGATCGTATTTTCTCCGGAATGGCTTATACGACTAATTCAAAACATATTTTACAGTAAGTGCCACGGATTTTGCTATTTTCCTTTCCAGATTTAATTAAACAGCCAACTAGAATGTCGAATGTTGGATGAATGTTAGATTTTTTTCTTTTCTTGGCTTTTTTTTTCTCAGTATTCACCATTTCTGGTTTATTCAGAAAATATAGATAAGTGAAGCTGCAGCATCAATCGGAGAAGCCTACTCTCATCGATAGTCATTCGGCGTTCGACGAATGTTTAAAATACCTCTGAGAAATGCTTATTTCGAAAAATTTGATGGTTTTTTCTCCAGAAGATAATTTTAGATTGGCTCATCTTGTACTCACTATCAAAGAAAGAGATATAGATTTTCGACATAAACTTTTCGAGCTTGTCAGGTAAATTAAATTAATAAATTAAGATAATGCGCGAATAAATGCTCAAAGTACGAAAATTTATGAAGGACTAATTGGAATTTTTAAATTATTCAAATTACTTTTTTTTTCAATATTTGCAAAAAATTTTATTTTTAGAAAAAATTATAAAAACAGCATCGTATCAGATTATTTATTTGAAAATTTCAATGAGATAAAGAAAAAGTAAGTTTTTAAAAAATAAATTTATTCGCTCGTAAAATTATTGCCATGCGAGTTTTTGTTTTGTTTTGTAATTGCTTAATGATTGAATGTAACACAAATTTTTATTGGTAGCCGTAGTTATAATTTCAAATTTGGTTAATATAACCAAATTAACCAATGAAATTATTTATTATGCAAATAAAATATCACAACATTTATAAAATTAATGTACAGTAGAATGAAAATTTCCCAAGTACATTTATAAGCAATATCTCCACTATTCAACCCATCTTATCCTTCAACCAGATTTCCCTATCTTCCTAATTTTTAAAAAAATTTCATGGTACTTTGAAGGCACTCCTTTTGTTAGATTTGGCAAAAAAAAATCGGCATAACTGAAAAACTAACTAAAATTAAGACTTGAAGTATTCTTTAATAAAGAATTTTAGCCATGTGAAATATACAAGTTTCTTTATAATGCAAATGGCAAGAAATTATGCAACTCTTGATGATCTTAGAAAGGTTAGTTTATATTTAATATATTTTATTAAATGTATTTTCAAATTTTTTCAATAAATAAGAAATTATTGTATTTTGAAAAGTTTTATTTGATGATCGAATAATTATTATCTAATAAAGTAATAAATATTCTAAAAGCATAAATACACTTTCAGTTGGATGAATTTGAGATGATACATGCACAAAATCTTCCAAAACTTAAAGGCTTATTAAATCATATTCGAAACGAAATAAGAAAAAAAATGAATTGGGCTGAGAAATATTTACCAGAAATTAGTGGAATCTTATCAACACAATTGGATGTTATTTAAAATTAAAAACACTTATCCTTGTTTTAAACTTGGCTATGATTCCTTCTTTTTATGGCTCCATTTGATTGAATCGTTGGGAAAGAATCTTTCACGAGAGATGAATTTTCCACAGAAATATTTGTAACTTAAAAAAAGTGGGTGCTAAAAAAAAAGAATGAATAGCCTACTTGTTGATTCAAAGAATGTATTTAGAAGATGGCTTGAAATATTTTATTGCTCTCAAAGTTGCCAATATTGATTCATTTCCACCTTCTATAAATTTAATAAATTCCAATAATTATTTCTCCATGTAGGTAATTATTACTGTAAAATGGTGATTGCTGTGATTGCATGGAATAAAATGACGCATTCCTTTGATTATAAGTTTTTTTTTTCAATACCTGTAATTTTCTCGATTGTCTTTTATCAAAATTTGATGAACATTATTTTTATTATTATCAGTGTTTTTTAAAAAAAAACTATCTGTTTTGCTATCCTTCAGACTATCAGCAATTATAACTTTTTGCGATTATTCAAGTTGTATATATTATTTATTTTATTTATTTCATTATCGAACGGCGATATCTTTGATAGTCTAATTCATCACATAATTAGCAAAATAGGTCGATTTGAATTCATTCCTTAAAAAAGTTAACGAAAAAAAATTCATATCTTTCTGTTGTGTTGAATAATTATACTAATATAATTTATGATAAATATATGATAATTAAAAAAAAAGAAATTGCAAATAATTTATTGTTTAAAAAAAAAAAGATAGAATTTAGAATTAACGATAAAAAAAAAAGATTCAAAAATTTTAAAAAATTTTTGAAATAATTTGCCTTAGGCATATTTCCTTGGTAATTGCAAATCGAAATCGAGTTTCATCTTCTTCTTTACCCACAATTCAATTCCTTTAATTTGTTTTATTTCAAAAGCATAAAAAAAAGGAAATTAAATATATAAAATATAATTTACTCGTATAATTTCTATATATAATAATGGCTAAATTTTAGAAATTCCGCAAAATTTTATGTAAATTTTTAAATAAAAATTTTTGTTTTTATTTTTTTTTGAGTCATTATTTTTATTTTTACGCATCTATAAATTTATAAAAACATTTTGGCGACAATTTTTCGCCCATATTGTTCTAAATAATACAAATGGTTCGCTAATTAATCAACTTTGCCTTAGGTTTTAATTATTGAAAAATTACTACAACAAATATTCAATATGAACTCGATTATATTTAAAATAAAAAAATTTATTTTGGCAGAAATTATTAAATTTTTTCTCATAAGAATAAACCATTGATAAGTGGTCGTTGTTATATTCGTATATCTATTTCTAACAGTTGTTTATTATTTTCAGTAACTTTTTCCAAATTTCTTCGATTTTATATTTATACATTTTAATTTTTGATTAAGTTTTTTAATTTTTAGATTATCAATTTTAAAGTAAAACAATTATAAATAAAAATGTTTTAAAAAAAATGAAATTTTTGAATAATTTTGAATAGATATTATTATCGAATGACTTTTGATTAATTTCATTCTTAGGCAGAAATATTGTGATAAATGATAAATGAATGATAAGTCCTTAATGACAAATCTTCTATTTATTCCATCTGATTGTTGTCTAATAAATATTTATATTCGATTAATATAAGTTAAACAAAACAAAACAAATAAACAAACAAAACAAAAATTACTGCCAGTCTATTTATGAAGAAAAAAACAACACACTGAATAACGAAATGCTACAGCAAATTTTTTCTTTTTTTTTAAGAGCCCTCACCATTACTGGTTAGACTCGTTCCACGGGCTTGTCACACTTGACAAATATGGAATCCCTTAGTGCTAGAAATACAGATGAGTCACCAGCATAACCCTGATTTTTGGACAGGTTTACTCAGCATCGGCGCTCCGAATTGAGCAACAATCCATCATACTATTCTACCACAGCAGTCACTGAATACCGCCGTACTACGGTAAATTATTTTAATATATTAATTAATTTCATTGAAAATCCTTAGATAATTTAGTGAAAGGCTCGCTTTCGAGAAATTTAGCCAATCCTAAACAAATATACATTTTTTTTCTTTTTTTTTCTTAACACTTCATTTTCAATGCAACAATCCTCCTAAAGTATACCAAAATTATGGAAGATTACCCTAACAGCAACATTTTTTTCATTCATTTTCGGGTTTAAAGTTCTAAAGTTCTTATCATTCTATCCCCTAGCTGCGGTATAACTTAGTACCATTCAATCAATTTTATGCAAATTTGTTCTTTATATTTATAGATTAACTAATATTCCGCACTGGATTTTGAAATTAATATGATTCTTGAAGAAAAAATCGTGTTTCGAATTAATTTTTCAATTTTCTCAAGTTTTGATCACTATCTTAAAAACTTTAATTATTTTGGAATCGCTTGGAAAAAATATTTCTCTCATAGCTGTCACAGAAGGTGGCCACCGAATATTTGATTTGGTCTACCAAGGCAGAAATTGGCTTTTGTTTGTATAAATGCGAACAAATTATCTAATAAATAAAAGATTGGCTGGTTTAATGGAACGCAGCCTCATACATGTTTTTCGAGCATTCCTCATCCTAAAACCCATAATCCTCAAGTCTAATATTATCCGACTTTAGCCGAATCTCTTCCTATCTTAAAATTCCGCTATACATAAAACTTGAACTATGATGGCAAATTTGTTCATGGCCCCGCCATACTATTATTTAAAAATTATATAATTTGACATGAAATAATTTAGGTACTTTTATGATGGGTGCAACTGTAATAGATGAACTAAAATTTTGTTTCTATATGTACGATCTGCTTAAAGCTTCATTTTTAGCCATATAATCAGTTCTAACTGCCCAATATCCATTTGATTAGAAACCAGCGCCGATGAATCCGAAGCATTACACTTATATATTGAAAAAGTGCCGAAAGTAAAAAAAATTTTGCATTTTAGATAGAGTGTTATGCTCTTTAACGCAAATTCGGTCCAATTTACGGCTTGTGCTAGCAATCAATTTCTGGTACCACATTGAATCTCGGAGAACATCTTTTACTATGGAGTTTTGCATTCTCTCAAGTGAGATCGCAAGAGTAATTATGATTTTTGATATTCTCATTGTTTGCTGCCTCAAGTAGAAATATTGTCCTATCCAATAGTTTTAAAGTCGAATCATTGCAGCTCTCATATTGTGGTGTTTTAGAGATCCAAGTTAGTTGTTTAGAAGTAGACTAAATTAATGTTGGTCCTCTCGGAGAGTTAATAATGGAATTCGACTCTACGCAAAAGTGAGCCTACCTTTCAAAATCCGAGTAGCCCACCTATATTTCTGCCGCCGCACGACTTATTTGCAAAATCTGCGAACCAGCGGTGCACACAAAGTCAGAAATGGTGAAAGCTGCCTTAAAAAAATAATTATTGAAGAAAGTATCGTAGCAACTTTCAATACAATGCGGGCTGTATTTATGTAGAAGCGGGCCGCGATTATCGTTCACCATAATGGTAAATATCTTTATCAGCAATATTTGGTAAGTAAATTTTTACTGGAATAATGTACGGCTTTCATTCGTAGCTAGTAGGTTATTTGTTAATTTCGAAGGTCAAAGGTCATTGCTTCCAAATACCTTAATATATCACCTCAAATGCGTATAATACTCCCGGTTTGAAACCAAAAATATAGTCTTTTGAAAGTGGAAGCGAATTCACCGCCGTCTTTCGCTTTTAATGTCGCATTTAAAGGAACTAAAATCCAGTTTATGTTGGTTTATTTACGCTTAAACGTATAATTACGTTTATTTTCATTTATCATTTTAATAAATGATTTTAATTTTTATGCAATTTTTTTTCGATATAAATAAATAAATAAATAATCAAATAAATAAATAAATAAATAATTAAATAATGTTTAAATTATTTATTTAAGAAAATTTATTCGCTTAAACGAAAAATTTTATTGGAAATAAAACGATCGATGTCGATAACGGTCGTAGACGATTTGCCGAGTTGCGATGCTATATGCTTAACGAAATCAAAAATCGCGAAAAAGATTGCCGTCTGGAATGGCGATATAACAAAATTGCAGATTGATGCAATTGTTAATGCAGCGAATAGTCGACTACTTGGCGGTCTGTTTATTTTTTTCATTAGTTATCGCTGCATGCTGCATGTATATTTACCTTCCTTGAATTTATCCTTTCAAGTTTCATTATCCGATTCTAATGTCTAAATGTCGGACATTTGTATACCATACGATGTTTATATTCTTTGAAATTAAACGAGTTCGTTTCTCTTTGGTAAAAAATTCAATTATTTGGTGAGTTTATTAAAATAAATAAATCTAGTGAATAGTCTTTATGTGTGGATAGTGTCGCGTACGAGTAATAAATAACAAAGATAGCCAGTGTTGTTTGGTACTTTAGATGGTTATAGAATTATATGAGACAACGAAACGCATATAATTTATATAGTTTATTGCTCTAACACTGTTTGTTATAGAATCGAAATATGAATAGCAGAAAGCTATATTTTGTTTTAAAAAGATTAAATTATAAAACGATACATTTTTTTTTTTTGAAATTTTTCGAATAACATATGAGTTGACAAAATTTTCTACTTTAATTACTCTCTCACTCGTTAGATTTTAATTTCAGGAAGAAAATCCTATAATATTTTATGCTTTTTTTTAAAATCTCTTTAAATTTTTTTAAAAAAAGTATTTGAATTTAAATCTTTGTTTTTCTAAATTTATTGAAATATTTATTTGAAATGAATAGAAATATTTGGAAAAATTAAGATTGTTGTTAGTTGTAAATTTAAAAAAGTGGAAATTTATGCTTTTATGTGCTTTTTTTTGAAATTCATTATTTTTATCTGGTTTATGGGTGAAATCAGGTGGAGGTGTTGATGGAGCTATACATCGAGCAGCTGGTCCAGAATTACTTGAAGAATGTCGTAAATTGAATGGTTGCTGTGTGGGCGAAGCGAAGATGACCAACGCTTATAATATGACGCATGTAAAAAGTATGTTAAATTTATTTCATCCATCTGTTTCTTGCCATTTTCATTCTTATTTCTCAATTCATTCTTATTCTTAGTTATTTCTCAATAACCATACTTGCTAAAGATTCATATGCTTCACTTTTTCCAATGAATATTATTCATAATTAGAACGTCAAATCTCATTACCACTTATTAGCCTTGATATAGCTTTTTAAACTTCCCCAAATAAGAGAATGGAATGAAATTATTGTTGTGACATATATTCATCTTCTATTAGATGATGGATCTTTAACAGTTAATTTTTTCCTTTTAGAAATTATTCATACAGTTGGGCCACAAATTCGCAATGATGTTACAGAAGAAAACGAGAAGCAGCTGAAATCTTGCTACATTAATTCATTAGATCTTGCTAGTAGAAATAATTTAAAAACCATAGTAAGTCGTTGAATTTTTAATTCATGATATGGTCAAATATTTGTCCATTTTATTCAAAATTAATTTTAAATTAATTAAATTAATTATGCTTTTTCATTTTAGGCTTTTCCGTGTATCTCAACTGGCGTCTATGGATATCCAAATGATAAGGCATGCGACACTGTTGTAAATGCAGTTAAGGATTGGTTGATACATCATGCAAACTCGGTAAGCTCTTTTTGAAAGAAAGCGGTATTATCGTTAAAGGTTTTAATTTCATTGATTAAAAATCTTTCTTTTTCTGCTAGAATCTGATTAAAAAAATTAGAAATATTTTCTTAATTTGTATTTATGACTTTATTTTATATTTAAAAATAATTTAAGGCCTTATTGCTAATGCTTTTGAAATTTTATCAAAAAGCTTATAAGAATATCTTTGCCACATATGATTATTTTTATCTAGCAAAAAATCATTTCCAGGTTGAGAAAGTGGTATTCTGCGTCTTTTTAGAAAAGGATTTATCATTATATAAGAAGGCTTTGGCTGCTTTAAAGTGATAGAATAGCAGTTCATTTTTATTCAATAGTTGTTCATTTTTATGAAAATTTTCTGATAATGAATCGTTAATTTCATTTGCTAACGTGTTATAAAATACTCGACTATAGTATATGCATATTTTGCATGAAATACGCTTTAAATATTTTTTTTTCTCTGAAGAATAAATCTTCTGTTATTATTGTTGAATATTGTAAACATTTGTTTTTTTCATGAGAATTTATCTGAATTAAAATTAATTATTCCTACCAATTTTTGTAGTTTTTTTTCGATTTTTTTATGTACAAATTATCTGTTTTGAAGGAAAATTTAGTTAAAATTTAAATATAGTGGTCGCTTGCACGAAATACAATATTTGCTTACTTTTTGGTCTTTTGCAGATTATCCGATGGCAAAATTCTTTTAGCATAAAAGTTCGCCTTAATAAATAATCATTTTTTTGATTAATGATGACTTCGCAGCCTTATGCTGATTTTATTGTGAACCTTAATGTTGGGGGATGTAGATTTGCAACATCAAGGCATACTCTAACATGGATACAAGATTCGTTTTTTACGAGGTTTGTTGTTTGATTTTCATTCATGTTTATGCATGGACAAACAATCTCGTGATTTTTTTATATTTCTTCACTATGTGTTGGATTGATCGTCTGCCAGCTATTCTTATTCTTATTAGTTGCAAACTATTTTAATTGAACGGTTTGAAGTTTATGCTTATTTTAGTTTGCTCAGCGGAAGAATACCAACCGTTAGAGATGACAGTGGAGCGGTTAGTGCTTTCATATCTGTCAGTCAGTTTTTTCAACGTTTTCTATAAATAAGAAATTGCCCAAAACTTTTTATGAAGCTGAAGATAATATAGTGATTTACAGAGTGCACAGATCTTGATAAGATGAATTTATTATCGAAGTTTATCAATTCTTCATTGCTTTTAGATCTTTATTGATCGCGATCCTGAACTTTTTCGGATTATTTTGAATTACTTAAGGACCAGACAAGTTGATTTAAGGCTTGTTTTTTTTTTTTATATGTTTGGGCATTTATCATTTTTGAAAAAAATTTTTTTAAACACCAGCGGATTTTATGTTTTTGCAGCAGCACAACTGTAATGACGCTGAAGCATGAGGCGCAATACTATGGACTTAGCCCTCTCATTAAACGTCTCACACTTTGTGAAGAATTAGAAGAATGTGCTTGTGGTGACGTACTTTTTCACGCTTATTTGCCACCACCAGCACTTCCATCTGATGGAGGTGCGTTTTTTTTCGAGAAGGCTGGTTTTGAATGATAATTAAAATAATGAAGAATTAATGAAGAAAGAATGAAGAATTTTACCAGAGTCGTGAATCTGTGATATTCTAATGATTTTGGTTGATTCGCTTGCAAGGAAATTATTTGCATTCTGAGAAATTATTTACCTCTTCCAAATTATATATTTTAGCTCAAGATTTATTAACATCAAGGAAAAGCAGAAGTTCATTGCTTTTGTCGGAATCTCGATCACAGCCAGTTTCATCAACTGCACAACAAAATTCGAACGAAACAGTGAGACCAGTCAGTACTTTGTCAACCCAAAGAGTTATATTGCCTACCCAACATGTTCCCAGGCCATTGCCAAGTATGGAAGCAAAATTCCAAGTAATTTTTGTTCATATGTATTACAATCAAATATTGAGTTTTGTAATAATGGATTCTTTGCTTTATTTATCATTAAATAATTTTTGTTTTGCATTTTGCATATACATTTTTCATTTTATTCAGCTTTAGAATATTCTGTTGTTTAGCTTCGTTCATTGGCAATTCGTCAGAATGAGGCTTCTACTGATTTCACTGATGTGCTTTCGTCTTGTCAGGCTTCTGATACCCAGAATGAGACTGATTGTAAAAGTATGCTTATTATTCTAAGGTATACTTTAAACCCTCAATTTTTTGAACTTTGTTTTATTATTCTTGTTTTTCTATCAAGCTGGAACAATAAGATACGAAACCAGTGAATCAAGCGATAAGAATGCTAGTGAGAGCAAGGTAAACAGTACAAATTGCCATATGCATACTTCTGCTGAATTTGTTAATGTAAGTTCATGATTTTTTGGTTCATAGTTCTCATTCATTTGCATTCATTTCTAAAATTCTTAATTTTTTAGAATGCATTTGGAGGACTCAATAGTCCCTCACGATCATTACAAGGGCATATGAAAAAGAGCTCATATGAATTGACTAAACAGGTAATTTTTAAGACTTTTTTCTCTGTTTATTTAAAAATAAATTTCGCAAAATGTTTTTCGAATTCGTTTATAATATATTTTCTAATTTTTTCGAGATAAAAAGCGAGCTATCGTTGATGTTGCGACAGTCAGCACGCGAACAAAAACAGCTTGATCCTTTACGGGTTCGTGTTATTCGAGCTCATCATAATTCCATTGCCGTCGGTTACGCGAATTTTGTGTGTTGTTACAGGTTAGTGTTCTTGTGTTCGGGAATATTTTAATGGAATATTAGATGATTGTAATTTTTTGTTAGTTAGCACGTTGGTGAGTCTGTAAAATTTCAGCTTGTCAAACTTTATCTTAGAAATTTGTTCGAAAAATCTCGATCCTCGCTGAATGGCTTAACGCATTTAAGGTCCTTGTATTTCCTTCAACGATCTGTGAAATATTATTTTTTTTCTATAACCCCTTATTAATACCTCAAAATTTTTTACGATGTTCACCACCTAGTTCTTTATGTTTTTTGAATGGTCATTGAGACTTCTTCTAACTCTTTTGTTATATCCAGTTCTCTTAAACCGCATTGTGGTCCCTTAATATATTCAGTGCTTTTATTGTTTTTCATTATTATCTTCTTCGAATCATTTTTTTCATAGTCTTTCAACATCCTTTTCTTAACTCGCTATTAGGCTGGAATATAATATTCCTGAAATTACCAAAAGTTATAATATTCAAGTTACGATAGCTTCTTTATGTCCTTAGGAGAAAGAATTTGAGAATGAGGAGTAAGGAAGTGGTGAAGAAATATTATTGAGGCGAGTGATACTGAGAGAGTACAACGAGAAATGGATGGTTTTAATACAATGGGGCTCTGGTGGATATGAAAACACTGCGAGAGCTTCAGGAAACGAGGCTCGAGATGTAGGTCAGCGTTAGTGGAAATGTGAAAAAGTATAGGAAGACGTGGAAAACGATGTTAAAAGAATAAGAGAGCAACTTCATCTCTGGCACTATTAACTTTGGTATCAACTGGTACTAGTACCAATTTAGATTCATTATGACTTAGATGAATAAAACAACCTGCTTTTCATCTGTGAAATTTTACACGGTATATTTTCTAGGTAATAAATTTTGTAATCTTTGAATTCTAATGTCACAGTATCTAATGAATTGACATTTGTAAAATATTACTTGGACAAATTACTTCATGAATTAATCTGTGCTTCATCCATACTCGAAAAGAAGATTATATCAAGTAATATATAATATTATTTAATAGCGTTTTCAGTTTCAAAATATCAATCAAAATAAACTATTATTATATTACATTTCAATAGCTCAAAATTGATGAGCCGAATACATAGAAAGGATGAATTCTCTGGTAATGAATAAAGAAGGAGGGGGGAATTCGTGGCATGGAGAAAAAATTTATGCCTTTGTAAATTTCCATAATTTTCCTTTAGGTTTCCTTTTGTTTTTCTTTAATACAAGCGAATAGCTTTGTGCCTTGCTTGGTTCATTGTTTAAACAAATGAATAAATTTAACTTTATAGGATGAAGGAAAGCTTGGGTTGGCAATCAGTATACACATCTCCTCGAATGGATTCAGCGGTACGTCATGTGGCTCTTAATACTAAATTTGGAGCTCAAAGTAGCGAAAAGATGTTAGCAGTTGCATTGGCTAATAATGAAATTCATCTCTGGAATATATCGGACGCTGACGCTCAACATGGCGTCAAAATTGGTTAGTTTTGAAAATGTGTTAATTTATGCTTATGTTTTCCAGTGGAAAAATTTATTTTTAAATTGATTTTAATAATTATTGTAGCCCATGTTTCATGTAGATTAATTCAAAAATTTTTAATTCTTTATGGCTGTTTGTTTGTAAAATGGTTGCAAGATTGAATAAGGTTTTATTTTAATTTTATATCAGGTGGTTGCATTTAAAGCACTAATTTTTTTAAGAAATGCAAAACTTGTACTTTTTATATAATTTTTTTTTATAATAGCAACTTTTATATAGTAGTTAAGTGGATAATGGCTCAGATTATCTTGAGCAGGGATCAAGAGGCAAAGATTCGGCTTTTACCTTCCATAGGTGTAATGTTTCGCGAAGTAATTCTCTGGCAAAAAATTTCTGGTCATACTTACAACGGAGTAAGCCTGTATAGTCAAAAATGATTAGCATTTACTTCTTTTTTCTATATAATGTGCTTACCTTGGATTGTTTTTTGCATTACTCGCTTCTTCTGGTTTTTATATTATAAAAGCCCTCTGTTTTTGCATTTTTTTTCTTTCTAGGCACCTTTTCATTATCAGGCAATGTGGATAAATTATTTTTTATTGGCAGTCAGTTGGTCGCACTTAGCAAGATAGGTAGAGTTGGAATATGGCATTCAATGACTCATAATTGGCAAGTACAAGGTTCACATTGCATTTAGTTATTTGCTTTTGTGTCAATGTTCGATATTCTATTATAAATTGATAACCGTTAAATTAAGATGTTGTTTCGATTTCCTCCTATGATACAGCTGGATCTTTTTTACTGCTTGGATGCACGGATGGCGCTATATACTATATTGATATGCAGAAGTTTCCTCTTCGCATGAAGGACAATGATTTGTTGATTACTGAACTATATCGTGATCCAAATTCAGACATCATAACTGCTATAAGTGTGTACCTGACACCCAAAACAAGTATGTTTTTTGATTATCAGTGTATCAGTCAGTTTCGCTTTACAGGCGGAAAATTCATAATCATTCCTTATGCTTCCTACTTTAGATCTGTGTGGCAATTGGATTGAAATTGCATATGGTACTTCTTGCGGAAGTGTTCGTGTAATTGTTCAACATCCGGAAACAGTTGGTCATGGGCCTCAACTATTCCAAACTTATACTGTACATACTTCACCTATAACTCGTGTTGCTCTGACAACAAATCATCTTATAAGTGGTAATTCTTAATTAATCAAGCGAATATCAAATTTATTAAATCTATTTGTAATTTATAAATTTATTTGAAGCTTGACTATATTTCCATAAATTAAGATTAAATTAACTAAAATTAACTTAAATAGAAACAAATGGAGAAATTTTTATCATTTTCAGTATGTAGTGAATATAATCATGTTCGATCTTGGGGAGTGACTAGATTCCGTGGTATGATTTCCACGCAACCGGGAAGCACATCACTGGCATCCTTTAAAATTCTTACACTTGATGGCACTGATGACGTTCTGGATTCTGATAGTAATGATCCAGGTAGGTCTGATTTTTTTTCCTTTTTTTTCTTTCCCTTAGTGCATATTAGAATTTGATCCTCTATATTAGAGTGATCTACATACATAAGCGACTGTTTTATTTTCCTTTCTCGTTAATATTTTTGAAGATAATAAATAGATATGTGTCGAATCATGATAGAATATAATGTCTATTCGAGTTAATATTTTTTTGCTTCAATGTCATTACGTGATATATGAAATAATTTATTTATTCTGTTTTGATTCCGAAAATGGTTGTAGGTCCATTTGGTGACCAAGATGGGGAACAAGTATTTGTTCAACGTGTCGTTCCCAATACTAATCAAGTTTTTGTTAGACTTGCATCCAGCGGTGACAGGTGACTTGATTTTATATTTTTTTTCTGTTATCAGGGTAGGAAATAAATGATTATTACAATTATTAAATAATTTACAGATTATGTACTATACGTTCAGTCGATAGCTCTCCTATTACAGCTTTTCTGGTTCATGAATGTGAAGGTTCTACTAGAATTGGTTCGAGGCCCAGGCGTTTCCTTTTCACTGGCACATCAAGCGGTACTATACAGGTAAATATTTTGAAAATATTTGGTGAATTGGACTTGTGGTATACATTTGGAATCTAAAACATTCTGTTTTAAAAGTCGTGAAAGTCGAAATTTTTCATTATTTTTTGCTATTGTGGGTTCAAAAGATAATCAAAGAGAAATCATTAAAAAACTCTCTTGCTTAGGTGTGGAAAAATATTTCACTAAAAATATAGTTCAAATATATATGTTTCTTTCTGTTTTGGTTATTTTTTCTTTATATTTTTTTCATTTTTTTGATCGTCCTTGCTTTGTGCTCCATAATACTATTTTTATAATATTTCGCACATCTCAGGATTTATTACGCATATTATAGACTATGCTTAATGATTATTCTCTTTGAGATGTGGGATTTGACGACGGCGCTTGATCAGTACTATAATCGATTGGCAACATCAAATTTGCCTTTCTGCAATCAACTTACCGCGGATAAAAACACTCCTAATAATACTACTACCAATGCTAGCAATTTTTTACAGAAGCAACAGTCGACGTTATTGCAGGTGTTCCATTCTTTGAGTTTATTAAATCGTATTTTATTTAAATTTATTTGGCATCTTAAAGAAAAAAATGTTATTTAATTGGTAATTTATTAAAATATTAATCTAAAAAGCTCAAATCTCAAAGTTTTGTGATATTGTTCATATGATGATTTTTGTCAAAACGTTAACCCAAGTCTTTTCCTTTTTTTTACATGTTATTGATTTTGGTGAATCTGGCTATCCTATCAGTCAAATTGTTTTTCTTTAATACTACAAATTGTTTTTTCCATTGTTTAGGGGCCGACATCAGAAGAGTTACTACAGTTGATTGATGAATGTGAGATCTGCTGTGCGAGTCTTAATTCGACGCCATCGACCACTCCTTACGCATCACTTGTTAATTTATCTGGTCTCGATTACCAGAGGCAGTACTGATAAATTCATTTGGAATTTATATTATCTTTCTAAGTAATTACTTTCATTATTTGGCTGATTATGGTTTGTGAGAGTTGATGTAACAATATTCTAATTTTTTAGACAGTGGAAACATTTTGTTGTTTTATAATTTGTTTAGGTTGGTGCGGTCCGCTGAGTTTGAAAACGGCAATCTCATTAAAAGCAATTTGATTGCATTAAATTATTTTTTTTTTTTGTTATTCGATTCCTCAGTGTTTATTTGATGTATGTTATAGGTCCAGTAATAAAGTTATTTAATAAATTTGGTAATTAGTGAAGACATTATCTTTTTCTTTTCGATTATTGCCTGTTGTGCGACTAAAGGGTCAAACCCTTATGGGTTCATGTATTTGGCTAATTCTGAACGAGTTGATTCGAAATTAATCGTGATTTTAAATCGTCAAAAAATTTCTTTTCAGAATGAGAAAAATTCAACTGATAAAACAGTAGGGATTCTGTTGGATGCAAAAGTCTCATTGGTTTTCAGTCCTAATTATTTGCTAGTCCATATTCTGACAAAAGTTCAGCCATTAATGAAATTAAAAGCTTGCAGAAAACTTGTTGACTGATGTTTTTTGGTGTTAAAAACTTGTAAAATTCATGAAATATATGACGCTGCTGGCCGTAATTCTGGTTCTGAAAACGAATTCTGCTTTTACACGTTAATGGAAGATTTATTTATAAATGTTCCTGAAAATATCGAGAGCTTTCAAGGTATTTGACGATGCAACTGTAAGAGTTACATGCGATAAAATTGTTGCAGCTAAATTGATGAAGGTCTAAGTTCTATCCATCCAAAGAAGACTTTGGAGGATTTTGAAGAAAAAAGTGATAATCATCGAAAGTAGAGAGAGAAAGAGAGTAATTGGAGATGAGAATCGCTATCAAGAATCAACTAAATGAAAAAGTGATAAAAGATTTTTAAAAAAGATATGAGTTCGAAAAAAATGAAAAAATGATCAATTAATTTTAGTTTTATTATTTTCACAAGAATTTCTTAATTTTGATTTCATTGTCAAATATACGTTCCTTCCTTTATTAGCAGAAAGAAATTCTAATTTTTTTAATATGAAAATAATTATGAAATTATACATAATTATGAAAATTTATACGATAAACGAACTAATTAAGAATTAAGAAAATTGCCAATTGATCTCTCTGCACATAAAGAATGCTCGAAAAGTTTCCGCAGTATCATTCATAATTACTTTTCAAATAAAGAAGAGCAATTTTTAAACATTAATAGAAATTTTTTCTGGACCTACATCAAAAGAAAAGTTGCAAGTCCACATAAACAATTAATTCTGCAACATGATGATTTGATCAGCTCTGATATTGATATTGCAAGTGTATTTAATCAATATTTTTCTAGTGTATTTGTTGACGATAATATTCATAGTTCTTGTTTTAACGTATTTCGAATTTGTTGCACTTCTCTCGTTAACGCTACTGGATGTTTATGATGTTTTAAATAGACTTAAGCCGTTCATTGCAGCTGGTCCCATAATATTCCACAAATAATTTATAAAAAAGTCTGCAGTTTCTCTGAATCTTCCCCTATTTTTAATTTATAAGAACATTAGAAAATCCGGTCTTAACCTCAAAATTTGGAAATTGTCCCATACAAGTCCCATTCATAAAAAAGGAAGCACCTATGTCCCTTCTAATTATAGACCTATTAGCCTTTAACATTCGTTGGTTGCAAGATGTTCGAAAGGTTGATTTGTAACAAATTGCTTACTCATCTTGATGCCAATAATTTCATATGCACCTATCAATATAGCTTTTGTACAAAAAATCTACTTCTTCGCAAATACTGGTTAATCTTTCCGATTAGCCAGCATCAATTGACAATGGGAAAGCAGTATCAATTGTGTACCTAGATTTGGCTAAAACTTTTGATACTATCTCCCATAGTAAATTATTGATCACTCTTAATAGTTATGGCATTACAGGAATTCTTTATAACTGGGTGTCAGATTATATAAGAGATCGTCACCGAGCTGTTGTGTCAATAACATTCTTTCTGCCGCAACACCTGTTAAATCTGGCGTTCCCCAAGGTAGCTGTATTGCGCTAGTGCTTTTTCTATTATATATAAATGATATCACCAATGTGGTACTAAATTCTACCATTTGTCTTTATGCTGATGATTGTAAAATTTATTATTCTCATGGTAGAACAGATAGCCTATCTCCACTGCAGAAGGACCTCAACAGAATAGCTGACTGGCTATACGACAGGCAAATTATCCTTTCTTTTCAAAAGTGTAGTCTTCATATTAATTCTAAAGGTCCCCATCTTTTTATTAATGGTAATATAATCAGTAGAGTCTCACGATATTTCCGATCTTGGAATAATCATGGATGAAAATCTTGATTTGGACCTTCACTGCGGAACCATGGTAAAAAAATCCTCATTATTATTTTTCGTTCGTTTAAGAATAAAACTAAAGGTTTTCTTATCAAAATGTGCAAAACGTTTGGCCACTTCTTGATTGCAATACTACTTGTTACTCCCCGAGATGTCGTAAATCAAGTAAAATAATTAAAGGACTCCAAAAATATTTTATACGACGCCTCTCTCTCAATTGTAATTATAAAAGAAAATATAACCTGGATTCTTTATCAGTTCATCGTAAACAAGATTTAATTTATACTTATAAGATTCTGTATGGTTAAACTAAATTGTTCAAAACACTATAATTTTAAGCTAAATTTGAATCCAACAAGAATAGGCTAAAATTACTAAAACCTACTAAAACTAAACTATGGACTCATTATTTCTTTATTCGTATTATTAATTGCTAACATAAATTACCGAACGACATAGCTTGTGTGCCACCCCATAGCTATCTTTAAAAAAAGATTAGGTTTTTCATTTATAATATTATTTAAAAAGTTCACATCATGCAGGAAGTGTGAAATCTCGATTTTTACCATCCGATTATATATAATGCAGTTCGAATTGTACCTGTTTGGCTGGTTTTCAGTAAAATCATAAATCATTGTTAATATAAGAATCGTTTTTGTAGAGAATCGCTTGAAAATAGAAATGTGATAGCCGAGTAGACAGTCTTTGATTTCATTAATAATGATAGCTTTTATGTGTGAGCATTAAATTTTTTTCTGAATGATTAAATAGATGATTAAATAAGATTATATAAAAAATTGATTGCTCAACTCTTTTTTTCAACTCTTTTTTTATTTTAAAAAATTTAGTTTTCTTCATATTTCCTTCACATAGCAGTGTATTTGCCAGTGAAAAGAGAACTGAACATCTTTGCTTTAGGGCTCTCAAATTTTCAAAAAGATCATAAACTCTAGCGAGTTGCATTAATTTCAGAGTGCCATGGAATTGTACTCGTGAAATAAACTTATGTCAAAAAACCAGAGAGATTTTCAGCCAGTTGATTTCTCGACAAAAAAACTCATCTGATTTGATAAACCAGCTAAGTGAATCTAACCAGAAAAGGTGATTTAGAAAATGAAAATTTAAGCATCTTATATTTCTTGAATTTTGGTTAGAAATTTTAATAGATTCTAAATTTGCTGCTATTTATGACGAATCTTAATTGAGGTAATCAGCTGAAACAGCTGTTTTTTTTTAGGCATATTCAATTCTATGGTTTTTAAATTCTTTAATAAAAATTTTAAAGAACAATTAAAAAAATATTTCTTTATAAAGTAAAGCGTAAAATCATGTGCTGAATTTAGAAAATGAAAAAAAAGGCTAAAAATTCTCGAAAATGTTTCCGACGATTTTTTAAAGATTTCTTATAAAATTTGATAAGAATAACATCATGTGGTAATTTATTCCAATAGTTAAAATCTTTAAACCATAAAGAACTGTGGGACAGAGCAGTTGGTCCAGCAAATAGGCTTCCGTCATTCTTCTTTGCTACCTGTGGTAACATTAAAATTCAAGTTGAACTTATAATAATGAGGGTAGTTTAAGTCGTTATTATGAAATTTTATAAGTAGCAACCATCTCTTTTAAAATGTAAAGAAGATTTGATTCTTCTAAAATCGTTATTTCTCGCTATGTACAAATTTTCGCAATAATAAAACAAACATTGTATGGATATTAAAAAATAAAAAA